TGATGACGTCATTCTCGGCAGCCCCATTGCCAGGCTCAAAGTCCCGTTGCGTAATTATTTGGAGCGCTCTCTTCAGGTCAAATCGACCATAGCAACGTTCATTCTTTTATTTCATTTAAAAAAAAGTACAAACTATAAATAGTATGCTGCGATAAGGACTGCGAATCTCAACATTTTGCCCGTCTCTTGATGACAATGTCAAGGCTAATATGCCATACAACAAACCTGTCGAAGACATGGTTGCCGCGCCCATGCAACAAAAAAAAGAGCTTTTCCGGCAGTTTCTCTGCAAACTCTACAGTGTGCTCAGTACACTCTATTCGGCGTGTACGCATAAGCACACTGCTGCGAGAGTGTGCTTAGCTGAGTACACTGCAGCCAGAGTGTGCTTAGGTCAGTACAATATATGCAGCTGAGTACCCGTTCGTGGGAGTGTACTCGTGAGTACACGCTGACGAGGACATGGTTTGTCCTACACTTGCAGGCGTGGGACCCGTGGCATTGAACCACAGAGCTAGCATAGGCAGCAAGTGTTGGACAAGTTGTGTCTCACACTTGCAAGTGCGAGACTTCGTTGTCCCACACTTGCAAGCGTGAGACAAACGAGGCTCACACTTGTAAGCGTGAGACAAAATGTCCCACACCTACAAGTGTGAGACTGTCTCACACTTGGATTGGCAGTGAGTGTACTGAGTACACTGTTGAGTTTGCAGAGTTCTTATGAAATTGTGATAGTTTTCAAGAGATGAAACTGTCACTCACATTTTTTTCATAAGGTGGCAACGAATTTTTACAGTGCACTTTTCTCACGGCTTAGGTTTACTGCACGGATGCAGGAGGAACAATATAAATAGGATGTGAGGGGCGGGGGATCCTTTCTGTTTACTAGAGGAGCATCGCCATCGCTTAGCACTTCCGTGCGGCCGGCCAGCCAGGTGGGCTGCGTGCGAACCGCTGAATGTTGAGGCCACGCGCCGAGGTGCGACCAGCCTAGGCCAGCCCAGGCCAGCCCAGGCCAGCCTAGGTGCGGATGCAAAGTGTGCAGAGGGCCTCTGGCTCGGCCTCAGCAGACTGATTCCGAGAGTCGTTAGTTTCTGTCGCTCTGTCTCCCTCGTACTCATTGGGCGTCCCTGATAGATGCGAGAGAGACAGAGGGGCGAAAACGACTCTCGGAATCAGTCTGCTATGGGCAGCGGAGGGCAAGTAGCGAATTGGCAGAGTCGCATGCGACTCTCAGCCCCTCAGATTTCTTAGGGGTAGGTTGGGGAAGAAAAGTACAGTGTCAGAAAAGTGGAGCTGAACTCCCCCGGTGAACTTCTGAACTTTGCTCCACCCTTGAACCAACCACTTGAACTGAACATTAGAATCCTGAATGTGAAATCCCGGTCAAAGGATCCTTTGATTCGAATGTTGAGATCTCTACTGTAGGCCACACACTGGTAAAACAAAGGCATAAAAATTACGCCCTTAAGGGCATAAATACTCTTTTACGCCTTTGCAAGGGCATAATCGTTTTATGCCCTTAGGAAGGGCGTAAATGGAATAGGAATTTCAAGCAAAATTTTAATGCCCTTCCCAAAGGCATTAACGATTTATGCCCTTTAGGGGCATAATTTTTATGCCTTTGTTTTACCAGTGCAGGGGGTGTTATTTTCTTACCCTGTACTTTCCTCCCCACCTTCCGCCTACCTTCGGGAGCCACTCTGTTCCAAGTGAATCGTTTTGCAGCCCCCCCCCCCTCCTTGTCCTTTCATTTCGGTCCGCACCTGGCGGCAGCCTAGCGGATTGAGAGCGCCCCTCGCACAGTGGGCCAGACGACCGGTGCGGAGGCGGTCAAAACTGAAGACGCGTTTTGAGCTCCAGAGACGCAAAACAGAACTCGAACCGAACGTGTGACCCCACCAATGGATTCCTCGTTCGAAGAGCAATCCATTGGTGGGGTCACACGTTTGGTTCGAGTGCTGTTTAGCGACTCTGGAGCTCAAAACGCGTCTAGAGTTGCCGCCGCCACTGGTCTTCTGGCCTGCTTCTGGCCCACTGTGTCTGGTAAACTCTGGCGGCGCACGGCGTGAGGCTCTGGCGCCAACCTAGCCGTGTCTAGCCCTGGCCCTGCCTGGGCCGCGCGGGCAGCCAATGCCCACCAGCACCAATTGCGTGAACATGGCCGTGGCCCTGCCAGCACCGCGGCCGGCACGCCGCCCGGCGCTACGTGTCACGTGCCGCCTCGGCCGCGCCGCGCTCTGTCTCTCTCGCACGGCACGGGAAGCCGCATGAGTGCGAGAGAGACAGAGCGACGACGGCGGCGTGAGCAATGAGTCCCCGCCACTGTGCGTCCGTCCCGGTCCGTCCCCACGGCACACTGCTTTTGCTGCTTTTCCATTTCGCTTTCGCCGCGTGTGCACACTGTGCAGTGCAGTCCGGCCGAGCCTCGTAAGTACCGCGTAGGGCAGTGAGGCGGATTCAGAAGGACCGTTTCGTCGCCGCGTCTGTCTCTCTCGCACCCCTCCGCCACGCCCTGGGAGTGCGACAGAGACAGAGCGACGGGGCGATCGTGCAGAATCGTCTCGCTACTGGCAGCAGACTGATTCCGAGAGTCGTTCTCGTCGCTCTGTCTCTCTCGCACTCATGGGGCGTCCCGTATAGGTGGGGGAGAGACAGAGCGACCAACACGGACTCTCGGAATCAGTCTGCAGCCGGCACAAGGAGAGCTGTGTGAGAGTGGCAGTCCGCAAAGTCTCTGTTGCACTCGCACCGCCTCGCACGCTCCGACGCGAAGCGGGCACTCTGCACCCCTGTCGGACCGTTTTTGGCCCTCTCACTTGGATCTTAATCGTCTCTTCGGTGATCCAATTTAAATAAAAAGTGGCAGCCATTCCAACGATTAATCTTTCACTCGGAATCGCAGTTGATTTTTGTTGATTCATGGTTCGCGCGACGGAAAACGCCATCGAGATAAGGCTGTAGTACCTCGTAACGCTGATTAACGTGCCATTTATGCTGTCATTGACGAGATCCGAACCCCGCCCCCCTGCTTTGCTCGGACTCTTGCTTTGCTACCCTGGACCGGCACGGCAGGCACGGCTGTGGCTGCGCCGAGGGCACCCTGACCACCCCACTGTGAAACCAAGTGTGGGGAACTGCTCACTTAAAATGCAAAGGAGTGGAATTTTCAGTTTCCACGTTTGCGCCTTGCCTAGAGATAGGGGCTCTGTGAGCTGCTCCGCCCTTGAAGGGTTGCAAAGTGCAAAGTTTGGCAAGTGTGAAGTCCTCCACACTTGCTTTCTCAGTATACCTGCTCCTTGCCGTCCACTGTACTGGAAGCTTTCCTCCACTTGAGAGTTTGCGGAATGGAAAGCAATCGAACGGTCCCCGTCTCCGCGGTTCACAACCCTCGATCCTCGACACCTCGACAACAGCGCCTTGCACCGGCTGCACCGCACAGTGGGCCAGAAGACAGGTGGAGGCGGCCAAAACTCTAGACGCGTTTTGAGCTCCAGAGTCGCTAGGAGGGATTCGAGCCGAACGTGTGACCCCACCAATGGATTGCTCTCCGAACGAGGAATCCATTGGTGGGGTCACACGATCGGTTCGAGTCCCGTTTAGCGACTCTGGGGCTCAAAACGCGTTCAGAGTTTTGGCCGTCTCTATCGGTCTTCTGGCCCACTGTGCACCGCCTGATGCAGACTGATTCCGAGAGCCGTTTTCGTCGCTCTGTCTCTCTCACACCTTTGCCGAACGCCCCAGGAGTGCGAGGGAGACAGAGCCACAAAATCGACTCTCGGAATCAGTCTGCAGATAAAGCGGCGCTGCACAATGCGGGGCCATTCGGACCTGGGGGAAAGGGGGGGGGGGGAATTAGAAACAATCGAGTAGAACACGTTTTACTCATTTTTGCCCGCCTACCTGCTAGGCTTTCCCACCGCCTTGAACTTGAGAGGCCAGACCACAAATTGGATCGGCGGATTCTGGAAGGAAAAGAGGAGGAGAGGAGAGGGGGAGTGCGCGGTGCGCGGTGCGGCGCGGTGGCGACTCCCTATCAAGTAACGAGCGAGGCGGATGTCGCGTCGCCTGTCGATGGCCATGGCCGGCCATGGCAGTGTGCCGTACGGTGGCATCGTCTTGGCATACCGGGCGGAGGCAGTAGACTCATTCCGAGAGCCGTCTTCGTCGCTCTGTCTCTCTCGCACCTTCACGCGACGCCCCATGAGTGCGAGAGAGACAGAGCGACGAAAACGACTCGGAGTCCGTCTGCAGAGTGGGCAGGATGGGCAGAGGGCGGAGGAATGTCGCCGGCTGCCAGAGACACTCGTCCAGTTTTTCTTTCCGCGTCCATCGGTCGGTCGGAATAGATTCTAGTCGCGGGCTCTAGACAGCTTTAAGGAGCAGCCACCCAAACCCAAGGCCGAGCCACGCCGCGCGACGCCGGGCGAGGCGACGCGATGGCTTTATTTATTGACGGGACGCGGGCGAAGCAGCGAAGCCAAGCGGGCACTCCCTGTTCATTTAGTTTGTGGAACGGCGGACTGATTCCGAGAGTCGTTTTCGTCGCTCTGTCTCTCTCGCACTCTTGGGGCGTCCCGTATAGGTGCGAGAGAGACAGAGCGACAGAGCGACAGAGCGACGAAAACGACTCTCGGAAGGAATCAGTCCGCAGCGACGACCAGCGGCGTCGGTGGCGTTCAGATCCAGAGACGCTGTTAACGCCCCCCCCCCCAGCCGGATGCTCAGGTGATCGACTCCACTGCGAATCCGACTCCCGAGAGGATAATCCGGCGATAAGCCAATCGCGCCGACGAGCAAACAACAAAGATCAACGCGACCTTCCATGGCTAAAAAAATATTAAAAACTAGTGTACGATGATAACTCCGCGAGCAGGGGAAAGGCGAAAGAAGTATGAGGAGATAGCAACACCCTACCCGGCGTTATCAACCGGCAGCAACGACAGCATCAACGACAAGAGTCGAAGTTTTCAATAAAGGAGTGCCCTTGTGTGTTTCAGTCCCCTGACCACAGCCATGGAGGACGTGAACAACAAGACCGCCGCGGCCGCCCTGGGCGCCAACGCCTCGGGGGGCGTGGAGGGCGGTAGGAAGCTGTTCCAGTACCTCGGCGCCATGGCGGGTGAGTCCTCCGGGCACTCCATCACACAGTGGACCAGCCAGAAGACCGTTGCAGGCGGCCCAAATTCTAAACGCGTTTTGAGCGCCAGAGTCGCTAAATCGACGGCCCCTATTCAAAAGATCTTATCTGGGCGCTCCTATTCAAAAAATAACAGGAAAAGTAGCGATATACATCGGCAACTTTGGCCCGTCCCGTACATTGAGAAACGTACGAATTTCGCCTATGCTTGACCCTGACGGGAATTAAACCTGAGTCTGGGGTTAAAATAAATGTCGTTTTCGTCATCAGCACCCTCAAAAACATCAGAAACAATGCAAAAACTCGAAAAAAAGAATGTTCAAAAAATACCCCGCTGGGATTTGAACCCGGGTCCGAACTTCTCCGATTCACTCGAAACTGGCACCATTGTTTTTTTCCCGTCGCCCCGATTCCAAAAATACCCCTACATGCCCTCCTAGCTGCATCCGTTGCCGGGATCCTCCTCGACCCCATGAAGACCATGATGCACCTGCAGCAGCGCCCCCGGGGCTCGGATCGGATTTGCTGCCACCGGGCGGTTCTTAGGGTCACCCAAGGAGGCTGCATACCAAATTTGGTCAAGATCGGACCACGGGAAGTCCTCGGACGGACGAACGGACGAACGAACGGACGCACAGCAGGGATCATACTATATGCCCGTCCCTCCGTCATTTTTTTACAAAAAATAAACGGGACGGGCCAAAAATCTTATCTGTAACGCACGCGAATTTCACTAAGTTTGACCTTTTGGTACGGAGAAGAGGGTAAGCGGAACATATTTCTACACGCACTATCAATTTCTTCGATCTTCAAGTTTGTGTAACTACAATCCCAAATTATTTTGATTTGTAGCTGCCTCAAATGATCAAACTTGGTGAAATTCGCTTGCTTTGCAGATAAGATTCTTTGAATAGGAGCGTCCAGATAAGATCTTTTGAATAGGATCCCTCGAAATGGGACTCGAACCGAACGCGTGACCCCACCAATGGATTGCTCTCCGAACGAGGAATCCATTGGTGGGGTCATACGTTCGGTTCGAGTCCTGTTCAACGACTCTGCACCTCAAAACGCGTGTAGAATTTTGCCCGCCTGCACCGGTCTTCTAGCAAATCCACTGTGCATTATCGCCGCCAGACAGCCAGCTCACTGTAAATGTTCATTTTGCACACTTATATAGCCTACAAAGGCATACTTGCAAGCACACTGTGAAACCAAGCGTGCAGAGCCGCGCCACAGTGGAGGAGTGGAATTTGCAGTCTCAGAGTCTCCTTCTTGGAGGTGCAAAGTTTGCAAGTCTCCACGTTTGTGCCACGCCGAGAGGCTCTGTGAGCTACCCCACACTTCAAGTGTGGAGACAGTAAACTCCACACTTCAAAGTGTGCAGAATCACTCCGCAACAGGAATTGTGGAGTTCTCCTCACTTGGTTTGACCGAGAGCTCACACTAACTCTCAAGTACTTGGTACACACCAACCTTTACAAATACATACTTGCAAGTTCATACCACACAAGTGCATGCTTAGCAAAGTGCGCCCTTGAGCGCGGCGTGTGCATTGTGGGCGCCACACCACCGTGACGGCCTCGGTGACGGACTCGGTGACGGCCTCGGTGACGGCCTCGGTGACGGCCTCGGTGACGGCCTCGGTGACGGCCTCGGTGACGGCCTCGGTGACGGCCTCGGTGACGGCCTCGGTGACGGCCTCGGTGACGGCCTCGGTGACGGCCTCGGTGACGGCCTCGGTGACGGCCTCGGTGACGGCCTCGGTGACGGCCTCGGTGACGGCCTCGGTGACGGCCTCGGTGACGGCCTCGTTGACGGCCTGGGTGTTGCAGCGTGCCTGTTCGCGGTGTGCATGGGCACCACCATGGGCTGGACCTCTGCGGCGGAGCGCATCGTGTGCGCGGCCATCAACTGCACGGAGGGCGACCAGGCCCTGTACATCAGCAAGGGCGACTACTCGTGGGTGGGCGCCGCCATGCCGCTGGGCGCCACCATCGCCGCCCTGCCCGCCGGCCCCGCCATCACGCGCTGGGGCCGCAAGAACATGCTGCTGTTCCTCAGCCCCGTCACCTTCCTCTTCTGGCTGCTCATCATCTTCGCCCGGGCGGTGAGTGAGAGACAGCGCAGCGTCACAGCTGTGCGATGCACAGTGGGCCAGAAGACCGGTGGAGGCGGCCAAAATCGTGGACGCGTTTTGAGCTCTAGAGTCCGCTAAATGGGACCCGAACCGAACGTGTGACCCCACCAATGGATTCCTTGCTCGGAGAGCAATCCATTGGTGGGGTCACACGTTTGGTGCGAGGCCCATTTAGCGACTCTGGAGCTCTGCACGCGTCCGGGATTTTGGCCGCCTCCATCAGTCTTCTGGCCCACTGTGCGATGTGCCCCAGGGCCCCGGCCGCGGCGCGCTGAACCCTTAGCACTTGTACTCACCCACGTACCCTGCTTGCCGTTGCAGTCCTGGATGATGATTCTGGCGCGCTTCGTGATCGGCGCCTCCATCGGCACCATCTCCATGATCGCGCCACTGTACACCAGCGAGATCGCCCACCCGTCCGTGCGCGGCACCCTGGGCGGCTTCTTCCAGTTCCTGCACACGTGCGGCGTGCTGGGGGCCTACTGCCTCGGCGCGGTGGTGAGTCTCTCTCTCTTCCTCCAGCACCGAGCCACCTCACTCAAAAGGATCGTTTCGTCGCTCTGTCTCTCTTGCATATGTGCAAGGTCGGTTCATCCGTCCTGTGTTTGGGTAGGTTCGGGTAGGTTGGCCACGTACAGGCCAGAAGACCGGTGGAAGCGCGCAAAACTCTAGACGCGTTTTGAGCTCCAGAGTCGCTGGACAGGCCTCGAACCGAACGTGTGACCCTACCAATGGATTCCTCGTTCGGAGAGCAATCCATAAGTGGGGTCACACGTTAGGTCCGAGTTCCATTTGGTGACTCTGGAGCTCAAAACGCGTCCAGAGTTTTGGCCGCATCCACCCCACCGGTCTTCTGGCCCACTGTGCCTCGAAGGCTTTACCTCATGCCGAGGCTTTGACTAAGGAAGCTGGCCCCTGGGGGCTGCAGCAAGAGAGAAAGCAAACTGGTATATCGCCGCTCTGCGTCCCGTATATGTGCGAGGGAGACAGGGCGACGAAAACGACTCTCGGAATCGACAAAACGATCATGCGGAATCGGGCGGCTGGCCGCCGGAAGCCTCACGACGGCGTCGAGTCCACCAACCACCCCATCCACCCCGCTCCCGCTGCCACTCTCTTTCTCTCTCTGCCTTGCGTTTGGAAGCGTCCCTCTCATTGTCTCTCTCTCTCTCTCTCTTGCTGCGCGCTGCGCTGCGGGTGCAGATCGCGGACCTGGTGTGGATCAGCACCATCTGCGCGTGCGTGCCGCTGCTGGCCGGCGTCTGCTTCTTCTTCTTCCCCGAGACGCCGTCCTGGCTGCTGCAGCAGAACCGCGAGGACGACGCGCGCCGCTCGCTCATCCGCTTCCGCGGCGACGACTACCCGGAGGCCCTGCTGCAGGAGGAGCTGGACAGCATCAAGAGGTCCATCAAGGAGGTGGGTGCACTGTGAAGCCAAGCGTGGCACAGTGGGCCAGAAACCGGCGGAGGCGGCCGAAATTCGAGACGCGTTTTGAGCTCCTAGTTGAGTCACTAAGCAGGACTCGAACCGAACGTGTGACCCCACCAATGGATTCCTCGTCCTGAGAGCAATCCATTGGTGGGGTCACACGGTCGGTTCGAGTCCCATTTATCGACTCTGAAGCTCAAAACGCATCTCGAATTTTGGCCGCCTCCGCCGGTTTCTGGCCCACTGTGCGTGGAGGAGAACGCCGCACTCGAGTGTGGAATCTGCACACATTGGGCCAAAAGATCGGTGGAGGCGGAAAAAATTCTAGACGCGTTTCGAGCTCCAGAGTCGCTAAATAGGACTCGAACCGAGCGTGTGACCCCATCAATGGCTTCACTGTAAAAAATTTTGACACGAAATTTCGTGTTGTGGCTAGTGAAACGCCCCTTCTTAGTTATACTTCTAATGAATTTCGTGTGCCAGTGGCAATGAAATCTCGTTCGCCATGGCACACGAAATTTTGTTGGCCACTGGCGATCAGAAGGCTTCTTCCTACGCCAAATGGCAATTTTTGAGTCGTGGCGCTGGCAAGGATACTCGGAAACCCAAATATTGTGAACTTTCTAGTTGTGGCGAGGAGAATTCGTCTGGGGCCGATGAAAAAAGCGGCACGAGCGGTCGGCATAGAACCCGAAACTTCAACTTGGATGTCTTGTGCCCTGACCCCTCGGCCACCGCACCGCTGCTTGGCAGAGCGCTCGACGGAGCTTCATCATGGACTCGCGAGGACTAGTCTGGCCACCACCAGGTGCGGCGAAGCAAAGCATCCTTCCCTTAGCCACGACTTGAAATTTCATAACTGTCGTCAGGGTAGGATGCCTTTTCAGTGCCACACCTATGATTTTTCTTCGCCAAGGGGCTGTTAAATTTAAAGTCGTGGCTGAGGGAAGCATCGTTTTGTTAGCCAAGCGGTAAATTTCACGTTTCGAACTTGGAATTTCATAAGCCACTGGCACTATAAATTCACTGTCGCGGTTTGGAAAGTGACCTTTCCATAGCCAGTGGCGCTTTAAACACACTTTCGTGTCTGGCTAAGAAAATTCAAGAAGCCATTGGCTACATAAATTTAATGGTATTTTTTACAGTGTTGCTCTCCGTACGAGGAATCCATTGGTGGGGTCACAAGCTCGGTTAAGCGACTCTGGAGCTCAAAACGCATCTAGAATTTTTGCCGCCTCCACCGGTCTTCTGGCCCACTGTGCTGAAGTCTCCGCACTTGGAAGTGCGGTCTCCACACTTCAGGTGTGTCGTTCTCCACGTTTGCACCATGCCAAGAGATAGAGGCTCTATGAGCTGCTACCCGAAGTGTGGAGACTGCAAGCTCCGGCACTTTCTGCCTACACTGCAAACCTAACTGTCTACTTAGTACACACTTACAAATGCGTGCTTGCAAGTACACACTTACAAACGCATGCTTGGCCAAGTACACACTTACAATGCATGCTTGCAAGTACACACTTACAAACCCTGCTTGACGCCGTATAACTCCATGCGTCAAGCATGCGTTTGTAAGTGTGTACTTGCAAGCATGCATTTGTAAGTGTGTACTTGGCCAAGCATGCGTTTGTAAGTGTGTACTTGCAAGCACGCATTTGTAAGTGTGTACTAAGTAGACAGCTAGGTTTGCAGTGTACTGACAGGGGCGGGCACAGTGTGGCTATTTGCCTACTTTTCAGGTGGCTATCTAGGGTCCGGGGTCGGTTCATTGAATAGTCCCCCTGCCCCCGCACTGGTTCCACACCTGTTTCCTAAAAAACACCCACCGTTCGTTTTGCAGTCCCGCGAGAACCAGAAGACCCTGAGGGAGGCGTTCTCGACCAAGGCGGCCAAGCGCGGCCTGATGCTGTCCATGGTGCTGATGCTGATCCAGCAGATGAGCGGTGTGAGCGCCGTGGTGTTCTACGCCAGCTCCATCTTCGAGGCGGCCGGCTCGTCGCTCAGCAAGGACCAGTCCAGCATCGTGGTGGGCGTGTGCCTGGCGGGCGCCACGCTGTGCTCGCTCTTCCTCGTCGACAGGCTGGGCAGGCGCGTGCTGCTGCTGGGCTCCGGGGCCGCCTGCTTCGTCTGCAACGTCGTGCTGGGCATCTACCTGCTGCTGCTGGTGAGTCGTACGAGTCGCAGGGGCGGATCCAGGGATCAGAGGGGACGGGAGGCGCACAGTGGGCCAGAAGACCGGCGAAGGCGGCCAAAATTTTAGACGCGCTTTGAGCTCCAGAGTCGCTAAACAGGACTCGAGCGGAGCGTGTGACCCCACTAATGGATTCCTCGTTTGGAGAGCAATCCATTGGTGGGGTCACACGATCGGTTCGAGTCCCGTTTAGCGACTCTGGAGCTCAAAACGCGTATAGAATTTTGGCTGCCTCCGTCGGTCTTCTGGCACACAGCGGGATTTGCCCTCTAACAGGGGCAACGTGCGAGTACATTCACTCAAGGAAGAATCCTGTACCACCAGTCTAAGTTTCGGTCTTGCTCTCTGCGTGCCGCTGCGTGCAGGCCCAGGCGAAGGATGACGGCCACCCCGAGTCCATGACGCCCTACGGCATCATCCCCGTGCTCACCATGAGCGTCTTCATGGTGACCTTCTCGCTGGGCTACGGCCCCATCCCGTGGTCCTACATGGCCGAGGTGTTCCCCGTGGACATCCGCAGCCCCGCCATGTCCATCGCCACGGTCACCAACTGGAGCTTGGCGTTCCTGGTGACGGTGGCGTACGAGCCGCTGTCCAACGCGGTGCACGACTACACCACGTTCTGGATCTTCGCCGTCATCGTGCTGGCCGGCTCCGTGGTGGTGGCGCTGTTCCTGGTGGAGACCAAGGGCAAGTCGGAGCAGGAGATCCAGGAGGCGCTGAGCGGGGCGCGGCCCGGCAGCGCGCGCAACAACGTCTAGCGCGCCCAGCAGAGTGATCTCTCTCTAGCATCCTGACGGAGTGCCCCATGAGTGCGAGAGAGAGAGAGTTCTCACTCGGAATTAGTCTGCTGCGACACGACGTCCAGCGCGTCCAGCGACACCACGGTGTCCAGCGACGCGTGACAACGACAAGGGCCTCGTGGAGCTGGAGCGAGCTGGAGACTGGAGCGGTCTGGCCGAGTGCACTCGGCGGTGGGAGAGCCGATCGTCAGATTGACAGCCAGGACTAGAGCCGCCTACAGCCCGGCAAGGTAGGCCACCGCCTCCACGCCGGTGTGTTGCAGCCTTGCAGGCTGGTTGTTTGCCTACCTGGCAGGCGCTACACTGCCGGCGAGCGGTGCACGAGGCTGGGAGTGCATCCCGTCCCCTGCCGCTAGACTTGAACGCGCAACGCGCGAAGAACAGCCGTCGCTCCTCTCTGGCGTGCTTGCCTCAAACTTGGGGCTAGAAACGGCAAAGAGGAAAAAGGAGCGCGGTGGCCGCGTCGGTTTCGATTCGCACAGCTCGGCCTGTGGCTGCCGCTCCAGACTGGTTCCCAGGGTTTTTTTCGTCGCTCTGCCTCTCTCGCACCATGAGTGCTAGAGAGACAGAGCGATGAAAACGAATCTCGGAATTAGTGTGCTGCTGCCCCCGGCCTGCAGCCCAGACAGACACTGAGAGGATCTTGAACGGGCAGAGGGCCAACAACAGTGCCCTCCGGACAAGTACTGGAACGGCTAAGTGAACACTGAACGCTGGCCCGACGAGAGTCGGAAGGAAGGAACCCGAACTGGGAATTGAGGCAGGCAGCGCGGCAAGTGCGCCTGCACCGCCTGCACTGTGAAAATGAACCCTCAACCAGGGCCCCCCTCTCCTAGTGCTGCTCCTGGTGGCCCGGAGACCCCGCCCCCAGCGAGGGCTGTCACTGCCTGCAACATCCTTCCCCTCGTGCCCTACAAGCCTCCCTTTAGAAACCTGTATTTATCTTACTTACCTGTGAATGTGTGTATGTGATCATGTGTAAATATATGTATTTTATTTAAGATGACTCCATCTGTTGTAAGAAGCAAGCAAATGGACACATTAAATATTTTTCACTTTTGAAAAGAAATTCCATATTTTGCTTGGTCGTCATGCGCTTTTTGGTAGCACGGAGACAAATACAAACTGTCTCCATGATTGCGGCATCGAAGTGGCATTTGAACCACTTGCACTATGAAACTGCCTCCATTTTAGTTTCATGTGTAAATTTCTTACATTCCCTTTCAAAAAAGACAACACACATGTACTCTTGAACTAAGTTTTAATTCACCAAGCTGACAGCTAATTACTTACAAAAACCATGTAAACAGTGAGGAATGTTTGCATTTTTTGACAATGTAAAAATTTTAACATAAACTGTGCATTTGAAAAATTTGCTTGAATGACGGAACTGGCGACCGTTTCATGAGCATATGGTCACCATTGCTGTAAGAGCGATTACTTTCATGACACTATGAAATAAGTAAGTATGAATGAGTGTTCCCTCCATTTATAGCCAATAGGTTTTTTGCCCAGAACGCACAACAGAACTCTTACTACAAGAGAAAGAGGTCTCAGTTAAATCTACAAACTACAAAACAATGCTTTAATGAAGCTTGTCTACAGAATACAAGATTTTTAAAATGGAAGAAGCCACAAGATATTATGAGAAATTGAGTACCTAAGAGACAATTAAGAAAATGAGAAATATGAATGAATGATTATTATTGTTCTAACATGAGAAAGTCAAAAACAACCTAGTCAGAAAATTAAGTGCATGCATATCACATGATCAAGAATAGTTCGAACATGGTGGTAACTTGCTCTTGCTCTTGGAAAAACTTATCATCAAATATAAGGGCAGGGGGAGGGGGACACACACACATGGCACAAGCCAATATAGTTAGAACACAAAAGGGGTTCATCCATGATTATGAATATGTAACAATAAAACAAAAGAAAATTCATGTGCTCTGCAGAAAAGCGTGCAATGATCTAGAATCTTACTATGGGAAATCATTGTAATAGACGCAATTGAAATATACAAAGTATGCACGTTAAGGATGTCCAAAAAATCCCTGACAAACAATAACACAATGAAATATTTCTATCAAAAGGCTGAAAATAACAACAAATAAAAGGAACAAATCAGGAGTAAGTTGCAAGGACTTAAACATTAATTTTTTAAATGAAAGAAAATAATATTTCATGAATTGATCTTAACAAACAACACTTGTCCAAAGAATCAGGCAAATTTAATTGCTTCTTACATTTCATCATAGTACATAAAGGGATATGTACGCATGCAACCAGGAACCAGATTTAAGGGTGATCCATTAATGCAGAAAAGAGAATCATCTGGTTTAAACATTAATTTGAAAACCACCACAGGTAATGAAAAACAAATATCATTCATTGTATCCACAGGTACTTAAAACATCACTATCAGAAGGTAAATCTCATCTCACGGTTGGGAACTATTCTCACAAACCAAATTAAGTGCATACCTTTCAGGTTTAAATTATACGAAAAGAAGCAGATAAATTTCAGAAAATAAGGCAGGCTATTTTAGCTTGACAAATTAACTGCAGTAATGGAATGGTTAAATCATAAAAGAAAAAGAGAGGAGAACTGAATTTGTTTTCATGACACTATAAGACCAAATACTGAGAAAAGCTCTCATGTGTTAACCTAAGAATGGAATGACAAAAGGTCCTAGACAATATTCAAAGCAGCGAACAGTATTTCTTCCACAAGATTACAATTCTATGTGAATTGTAGACAAAATTATAACTTCAATCATCAATACTACTGCAAAGACTAATGCACGTATCAAGAATTTATGTAATTGTACTGCAGAATTATTATTTTTAAAAATCTAATAAATTGATAACATTCTAAATTTTTAGAACACAGAATCCACCAAGATCTATTCATCACATACACATATTTGTCTCAGAATGACACTACAAAACTGATCAAATTACAAAAAAAAACCACACACAAATAAACAAAGAGGAGATGAAAATGCTGCTGTGAAAGAACTGTAACCAGCAAACAAAAATTCAAGCTGTTCTTCCATTTCATGGTATCAAAATCTAAAACAGAACAAATTTCTTAACAAGAAAACTTGCAACAAATGGTACCCAAACACTGCATTTTAAATATTGGGACCATCTACTCTAATGGAGTAAAATCAAAAGCAACTACATTGCAAGAGGAATCAGAGAAAGAGAACTGTGGATTTCATTCCAAATACAAATTGTGATGAAATGCTGGCAGTGAAGAAGAAAAGAGAGACACAAGATGCAAAGAGGAATGCATCGTCAACAATTAAAGAAATCTATGTAGAGGGTGGAGTCCTGTTGGAGGACAATCGCTTTCTACACCAGTCTTCAAGATCAAAAGGTTGAAAATCTGCTGACAAATGTGACGCGTTAGTACAGGACAAAATTGGAACAACCATGATGTATAGCTGCAATGAAATTGTAACATACCTTTAAGCATGGGATTTGGTTCATTATCACAATAGTAATAAACTAATGCTCCTCCTAGAACAATAAATGCTGACATTAGTCTTGGCCTTATGAATGCGCAGTGAATCAAAGTAGAAATTACGAATGCGGAGCAACTTACCTTTGCCATTTTCTGCTCCATTTTGGCTGTAATGCTCCACCTCTCTAGAGACTTTATTCCAGGCTGAAATAATACACAGAATAAGTCAAATAGTAATGGAGTGTTCCTTTAAAGAAAAATGCTAGGAAATGATAACTTACATTCATATATATATCTAATAAGCTCATCTTGTTGCGCTGTGGGAGTGCGTTCATCACGAAATCGGGTTGCCTGAACAGGCCTCTTGCCGTTAACCGATTGAGTTTGATTCATTTCCACAATTCTGAGGGGCAAAAAGTACAACAACATTAGACCATCTAGTTGCAAATAATGGGCTTTGAAAGACAAGCACTATGTCTCCAAACGGTCAAACCGGAGTATAATATGGGTCAGGTTTTTGTCTCAAGTTTTGAAAAGTGCATGCAACTAATGTTGCCATTAAACCTCGTCAATTCGTTGTAGGGGGAATACAAGAGCAGCCCAGCCAAACGCAAAAAGCAGAGAGAGAGAGAGAGAGAGTGAGAGAGGGAGAGGGAGGGAAGGAGAGAGTGGATGTGTCATGTCCATTTTAAAGGTTACAAAGAAAGATGTGGGGAGCTGAAATTTAGGCATAAGGACGCCAAAAAGACATAAGACGAATATCCAGTACAAACGGAGATGTATATAATGAAATTCAGAAGGTTCTTGATAGTACAAAAATACTTTTAAGACCGCGTCACCACAAAGAAAGGTAGACAGATCTTCGGCCTCCATGCATGGTCCCAATCATCTTTTATACAAATTTTGATCACTTTCCCTGAGGAATAGCACTATGGACTAATCACTGGGTAATTTGCCTCGAATAAAATAGTAAGGATCTGAAGTCATTGAAACTTACAAAATCTCTTCTCAAAAAGATGTCAGTCGCACCCTTGTTTATTTACAAATTGATCGAGAATCGTGACGAGAAGTTTGGCAGAGAACATGAACAAAGGAACCTCTTCGACTGTTTCCTCATTACCCAAGTGCGACAACTGCAGAAAAAATGAAAGTTACACAATCTCCAGTGCAAAGGAATTTTCACAGTACTGCAAAACTTCGGCAAAACGTTTATGAGATCCCTTCTATTCAATTTAATAATTTTTGGATAAGTTAAATTCTAGTTAAAAATCTTGAATGTCTTAAAATGCACATTCCACACAGTTGGCAGTGGCCATAAACAAATCCAACAACACAACTCCGACCGAACATGTGGGATTCGCGAGCTCCTTCAAATATTCTTCTGATTTGATTGTTGTTGTTATTGTTCGACGTTACCATTGATTGATTATTTCATAGCATTTCCAAAATGGCTAAATTAAACTCCTGTTATCCCCTGTGTCCCCTTATCGATAGAAGTCCTATCGGTGTAACCTCAGATTCTGACTCTGGGTGTGCAATTGTAACCCTCGGTAAAAACATTGTCATTCGATACACAGTAAGTTTCTTATTGTTCTGCCACTATGTATGCTTTATATCCAACAAATTTCAATCACAGTTGAGATAGTGACAGGAGAGTACCTAATTATGCTAGGCATGCATTGATTTAATTCGTCAACTCGCTCCATTTTCCTACGTTGCAGGCCTTCCGCCTCATTATTTCTTTGATGTTAAGCCCTTGGAAACATTGGTACAAGCGTCTGCATTTTAAAGCTCAGACCCTTTGCTTCAAACTTCCTAGCTTAAGTTTCTATATTTTATATGACCTGCACTCATTTCCATGTGTATGCACACAAGCGGCTCTGCTCAATGCAGTGACTCATTTTTTTTTCGTAATTCCTATTTTAATCTGTTTCAAATGAGGGAGAGGTACTAGCACACTAAGGTTTTCAAGGCCTAAAATTATGTAAAATGCTGTTGGTTTATTGTGTGTCCTATTGTGGGTCAATGAATCAAACCTCTTGTGTGTGGACTATTAGCTGATGTGATTCTTTTATACACATTAGTATGGAAGTATAAATATATATAAAATATGTTAACACATGAATGGGAATGTGTTATTTGGGCATTTATTGTTTCCGTAGGTAGTTGTTAATTAACATTCACATGTGTTTGATGCTTTTTTTCAGTTAGCTGACCAGAAGCAGGCAAGCAGTTGGAGTAGTAAGGACAAACTTACAGCTCCTGTCATATATGACCATGTGGGGAAGAAATATGTTGCAGTTTTTAATCAGAGTATCATCAAGGTGTGGGACAACACAGATGTAGACCTGAACAAATTAAAAAAACACAAGGTGTGGTATCAAATTAATATTAGGAATTCTTGAAATTTGTTAAGATGGAAGGAAATTACTTTTAGTGTATTAACAATGTAAATCTGTTTCTTTGCAGTTTGATCATCCTATTCATTCTTTAGTTAGCCGAGAGAGAAACGCTGAACCTGTAGTGATATTTAAAAATGGTGCCTCATTATCATTTTCTCAAGCCTTAGTAGACAGAAAAAAAAATTTATCAGGCTCTTTGCCAACAAAAATGTCTATTAAAGAGTGTTTTTTTATCAGACTTGATGATATTGGTTGTATTGCTATTGTAGCTGAAAATGACAAGGTAAAGTGCCTCACATTATACTATTCTTGTTATCATTGTTCCCTCTTTGTTGATAATTCTTCTTCTTTTATCCCAGGGAGTGACTTCATTTGTAATTGTGGAAGTGGATAGTGAAAGAAAGCCTCTTCACAATATACCAATTGTTCGTCCAGACAAGAAACTTCTTGGTCTAACAACCATGCAGGCAGAAGGAACTGCTTTTCTTGTAACGTTTTGTATGTTCTTTAACGATTCCCCATGAGTGCTACCTCATTCAGTTCTCTTGCACTCAGAAGTTGTAATTTGATGATGTCTTTTGATTGACAGGGAGTGATGGGCAACTCTTCTCTCTTCCTTTGGCAAAAAGCGTTAGAAGTGAAGAGGGTGTTGGCTCCTCCATATGTACTCTGAATGCTGTTAGTGTGAAGAATGCTGTTGCTATGACTCAAATAGCAACTAATCACCTTGCTATTTATGGGGCAGACCCAAGTGAAGAAGGTGCTGTGCATTATTATGTATTATTATTCTAGAATTATTCTGATGTGAGATGCTGATGTTTTAAGTGTGTGTGCGTGTGTTTTTCTTTCTGAAATCCAATTTACTTTTTATCTTTTATCAGGGGCAATGCTTGTGATTGTAAATACCCAATTCATGCTGGTGCAGGCTCATCAGCATTACAAGATGTTCTCAAACAACACAAATCTTTGGACTATTGGTCCAAATTTGTTGCTGGTGGTTGGTCATAGTCTGGCTGTTGTGCCTTTCCTATTAGACACTGAACACTTGTGTGCTCTCATTGGAACTCACAAGCCACTGCAATTGACAGATCACAAAGTACGTTTGCTTCCTAACTACCGTATTTGATATCTTTATAAATTGGAAGTACTGAAATACTGGCTTTTCTTCAGGCAAGTGAAGTAGAACAAGTTCTGGAAATGACAACTGTATCTTGGGACAAAAATATTGGCAAAAAAGTTGCAGATACAACATTAAAAGACTTTCAGAAAATGCAGCCAGTAAATGTGAAAATGCTTGCGGATCAAGGATACTCTCAAGCTATGTAAGTTGAAAATTGTACATTTCAATGGAAATGCGGCAAATATTCAATCTTGTTCAACAAACTTAATTTTCCCATTCTTCCCCAAATCAGGTTGTGTGAAAAGTTAGTTGCGTCATATCTTGAGGAAACAAATCTTTCAGGTATTGTCTGGCTGCTCCAATTTTTGCCAGACTTTCCTGAATCGGCACTTGTCACCGTTCTAGCTTTCTGCTTGGATACTCCACCAGCTGCCTTCAGAAAATTAAAATATGACAAACGTAAATTTCATTATCTGATTGATATGGAGTAAGTTTATGTAACTGATTCTGGGTATGATACTTGAAGAATGAATGACATTCAGTTTAACAAATTCTTTTCTTTTGTTGGGACAGTGGTGATAGCCAGAATGGGCTTGTTGAGTTGTCAGACAAACAGCGGGTGGTTCTGGATATTATCATCAGGACGTCTTTCAGTGAAGCAATCATCTTGCCCCATCTCCGATCTAAACTAAACCTTCAACACTGTTTGGCATTGCTGCAGTACATCGCTCAATGCTTGCCGCAGATAAAAAATACCACAGATGCCCAGGCACTAATGCGGTGGGCTGCCGTTCTGTTGGACAGCCACTACCAACAGCTTTTACTGTCTACAGATGAATGTGTTTCCAGCACAGTGCATGCCCTCAAGGATCTTGTGGAATCCCAGGTAAATGTCATACTAGTACTGCTATTTCATCCTTAATTTTTTTTATTGAAATCAGCTGTAACAACTAGCTCTTATGCCTTGCAGGTGGAATACATAGATGAGTTGAAAGTACTTGATCCTATTTTGAGAAGAATACAGTCTGGTCAAGCATTACAAAAACCTAATATTGTTCAAAATATGTTTTATTCAATAGAAACTTTGCGGTTGTACTAATCCTACATTTAATAAACTGCATTTGTGTAAATTATTGTTCGTACAGAACTTGATGTGTCCTTTGTACTTCAGAGAGAGAGAGCGCATCAAAGTTAAAATGAAATTTTGAGTTGAAGTGAAAGGAACTTCATTAAAACTGTGGAACAATATTTTATTGGTGACATTGCTTAGAGAACAGTACAGCTAAAAACTTTATTTTCACCTTAAACAAATTTATTTTTAAGGCATAAAAGCATTCAATAGGTAATATACATTCAATTTACAGTTTATAGAAAGGTTCATTGGTTTACTTCAACTGATCCAAAAAAGGTACATTACTGATATTACCAATGGCAGCCAATGATAGCTTTCCACTGGCAACTTTTCTTGCAGCCTGAAATAAAAAATTGTGTCCATGAGATGAGGTGTCATGCAGAAGATGTTTAGATTCATTTCAGGTTCTTTCAATACTCACATTGTTTACATCGCTAGAGCTGACAGAGTCCACAGCAGCTACCAAAGCTGAGGCAGAGTGTGCCGATCCTGTGAGAAGGGCTTGCTGACCAATGTCTTCAGTGGCAGCCAAAGGGTTCTCTGCAGCGCTGAGGATGGCCAGCTTCAAGGCAGCCTTGCCTCGCTTGACGGCATCCTCCGACACTGATCCTGCTCGCAGGCTCTTAACAGCTGCCTCCGTCACCTGACAATACAAATCACAGTGAGCACATGTACAACACATCAAACCCAGGAGCATGTTAGTTGTATGTACTAACCTGTCCAGCCACCTTAGGCTCGCAAGTAATGACAACACCAAAGAGACCAGCATCTTGGTGGGACACGTTCAGAGCAGACGCAGAAGCATTTTCACCTGCAGCAGCATCTGCTACCGCCTTGGCCAAAGGAGATCCAGCATTGGCGCCATACTTGACCTTTGCTCCAGTCCCAAGGGCTTGTTGCAGAATGCCAAATGCAAGGGCTTCCTTCTTATTGATTCTGAAAGGGGCATAAAATTTGAATTCAAAACAGCATTCAAACGATAATTATTATAATAGGAGTAATGCTATTTCCTTACCCAGCTCCTTCAGCAGCAATAGCAATGTGAGCTAACCCCTTGCCCCGTTTGCGGAGCTCTCCTCCATAATACTGAGAGCTGGTTCCCAGACCAGTGCCTTCCGCATAGCCCAGCTTGTCAGCAAAGACCTTTGCAGCATTATGGGTGATTCCTGATGTTGCCACCACTGTTCGATTTCCCAAGAATGTATTGTGAACAAAGTGCTGAAGCTGTGACAGAAAATGTTGAATTGTCAGGAGACTGCATGTAAACCCTGTTAAGGGCCACGGACATCAGCTAACTTACAGTTTCAGTTCCCTGACTGCCCAAAAGATATTTAGGGAGGAAGAGGGAGTTTCCAAGGCCAGTTCGGAAGGCAGCACCATGGAGCATATCAACAACACGTGCCTTGATAAAAAAAAAAATTATCAAAATGAGAGAAACAAAGGATGAAATATGATAAGGTAATTTCAAAAGTATTTACCTGGGGAGGAACAAGAGCAAGCTCATACTTCAGCCTAGGAATATTGTCCGACAGTTCCCATGGCTTGAAAACCTGCTCTGTAGCCACAGTATGAAGGACTTTCAAGCAGGGCTCACTGAAAATTAAAGCAAACTAGACATGAAGCCTGAATTGAGCAAAAGATAGAAGGAAGAACAGAAACCCATACTTACATAGCCTGAACGTTACATTCCAAAGTATAGGAAATTGAGTCACGATCATTCACAGCATATAAATTGGCACCTCTCTCCTGAATCAAGCGTGTGATGGCAAAGGTTGACAGTGAACCTGTTGTCAAACCACAAGCTGCACGCAGAACATGAGACACACCAAGGTTGTCAGCAGTTTCATAGCGGGAGCCAGCCCTGCAATTTAAAAAACATTGATTCAAGTTAGATAAATTGATCACTTGTACCTACTAAATTCTGATGTGCAGAACACTTACTTAATTTGAACTGAAACCCGTACAATAGGTGACTGGGACTCAATGCTTAGAACCTGTACTTTATTAGCCAAGACGCTTGATTCAATGGGCAAGTCACTTTCCAATGCTCGGGCAGCGGCTGAAGACAAGCCACGCTTCTAAAAGCAAAGAAACAAATCAAAATTTTAATAATGTGTCAGGCTACAGCTCTCTTGTACTTATCTTGGTAAAAATTACAAGTGCCATAACCACAAAAACAGAAACTCTTTCAAATTACGGAACAGTAAAAATCTTGAGACTATCTACACCTTTGCTCTCACTGCCTCTGGCAAAGATTCCTTTGACTAAATGTAGCGTTCAAGTACGTAATGAGAACAGTTATAAAGTACCACATTAGTCACCTGTTTTTCATTAAGAAGCAAGATACAGACAATTAAATTTTAAAGATTATTTTGATCTAACTGTGAGTAGGCATTGATTTTCATATATACGGAGGCAAGCTGTCGAAAGAAACGACCGTAGGAAACACTATACAGTACCAAGGGAAGAGAGGTTAGAATATTAAGACGTCCAAAAGTCTAGTGAACAGAAATGATAGCTTGATAGGCTATAAGTTGGGTTAACAGCTCAGGAATCTAATTATCTAAACCTAAAATCAGATGGCTTCATCATTTAATTACATCTACTTTAGGAATATAAAAGGGCAAGATTGCAGACGACAGATTTGGTTTGGGACAGGTCACTTCATGTTTCCGAGCCGGACAAGAGGTCAAATGGCGGCGAGTTAACAACATGAAGGTTCCAAATTGAAATGCTCGAAAAGCTCGACAGTACTTACGACAATATTGCGCATAAGTGGTAATTTGGCCATGTTTGAAGACATGATCGCTTCTCCAAATCCTCTCCTCTTCTGAAGGAAAGGTCGACAAGGTAAGATGGCGGCGAATGGCGACCAATTTCGACAGACGACTATCGCCAAGGCAAGTTGAAGCGCGCGCGTTCGAAATTCGAAAGCCCGTGACGCGTGACGCACGAGTCGCGAGTGTCAGCAGGTTTCCAAACACTGCCCGATGATTTGAGTGGGATGTGTCGATGCCTCGGTCGATGCGAGGGAGGGGGCGGGCGGCAGGCGGCAGTGGGCAGAAGCTTACGGCGACAGCCCTCGGGCCGGGGAATGTCTTGTCTAAAGGTCGTCCCTTCGTCCCTCTCGCATTCATGGGTGCTTCCTCTTACTGAAGCCGAAGCACATCGGGGGGTCGGTCGGTCGGTCGATCGGCAGCCTACTTAAAAACGCCGAAAAATCGTTTCAAAAGCACTGACATGAATTCAAAGGCACATTTCTAGTGCACCCATTTCAATGGGGCGTCCCGTCGCGAGGGATACAGTGACGAAACGCTGAGAGAAATCAGTCGGCAAATAATGATGCCCGTCCCTTAATCGTTCCGGCCTTCCCTCGCCTGACGCACCACACTGTAGGACGTTCCGGACTTCCCTCGCCTGACGCACCACACTGTAGGACGTTCCGGACTTCCCTCGCCTGACGCACCACACTGTAGGACGTTCCGGACTTCCCTCGCCTGACGCACCACACTGTAGGACGTTCCGGACTTCCCTCGCCTGACGCACACACTGAGGACGTTCCGGACTTCCCTCGCCTGACGCACCACACTGTATGTAGGACGTTCCGGACTTCCCTCGCCTGACGCACCACACTGTAGGACGTTCCGGACTTCCCTCGCCTGACGCACCACACTGTAGGACGTTCCGGACTTCCCTCGCCTGACGCACCACACTGTAGGACGTTCATGACTTCCCTCGCCTGCTACGACCCCCCCACATGACTCCGACCCTGTAAATGTAGGACGTTCCGGACTTCCCTCGCCTGACGCACCACACTGTAGGACGTTCATGACTTCCCTCGCCTGACGCACTCACACTGTAGGACGTTCGGACTTCCCTCGCCTGCGGCATACTGCCTAGACTCAGGACTACCCGTGACGCAACGAATGAGGAGTCGTTCTCGCGAGACACACGGGCAACGTTCAAGGTTTCAGTTGTGCATCTACCTCGCTAGGTATTCCGACTTCCTCGTGAAACAGGAGGAGTTCGTTCCCGCAGACGACCAATGATCAGGTAACAGTTGGATTCCTCCTTACGCAATTTAAATCTTTGTTCGTAAGATCCTAGATCTGTACAGATACCCAGTCATACATTATGAATAATATCTACCAAATAAATTTAAATAAGGAAGCAGGCTTTTCAATACAATTATCACTGCTCCAGACTTGGGATAGCAAAAATCACAGCCCATGAAAGATATCCAATTTTAATGAGGTAAAGAACGGCAAACGAAAGCAAAGCACTAGATTAACAAAGATGTGAATAGGTACATGTTCCTACATTTTAGAATATAAATGCATGTTCCATATTCAACCATCAGCGACCAATGTAAAACAAGATTTTCAAAGCACTTTAAACAGCGTGCACATTAAAAGTAAGCACAAAAATAGGTTGGAGAATCTGAATTTTAAAACAATTTCAAAGGGAAGTGAGGCTTAAATAAAAGGACCTATGCCTCGCCACTAATTAATTCTAAGATATTTCAAAAATAGTGCTGAAGTCTGCCTGACTAACAATTAATCCATCTCTGGGAAGCGCTCATAATGCTGCCGTTAATTTCCCATCCCGGATTTTTTCAAGGAAACTCCTCTAGAGAAGTGGGTACTTCATTTCACACCACAAGGTCAAAACAAGTTACAGGTATAACATTGAGAGGGGATCATACTTACATTTCTGGCATATACCAGAGATATGTATGTGAATATAAGCTTGTAATGCAAACTGGAAAGTAAGGTTGAATAATTTGAGCAAATTCTATTAGTTGAAGAAAAACACACAAAACAAAAACATTACTACAAATTAAATTGATCATACCATAAATCAATTTTTTAATTGGTAAACATATACTTTCAACTTTCTATTATTCACTGTTTACTTGAACTATTGAGTTGAAAGAAAAAATCTAGACAAAAACATATGTATGGAAGCATACAAAAATCAAATATGGAAGTCTCTCTTCCCCCATGTGCTTAAAGGCCTAAAAGAAATACATGGAAATTTCAAAATTGAGAATGTAGAATAACTATGAATAGTTTGAAATCTCGTACAATAGATCCGTGAGAGAAGTGCAGAGGTTTGGCAAGGTGGATGTAACAACAATTTTACAAAGGACAGGTAGACAAAATTAACAAAGCAGGATATCTTCAAACATGAAACAAAAAAATTAGTAACATAAAGTAACATTCACTAATTGTTTCAACACTATCCCATTTTAATGCTATACTTTCAGTTCATTAAGTCTTATTTAAAAAAAAAAAGTGGCACTTGCACAAATCAAAGAAATAAGGTTGAGTGCGATTTCATCTACATCCAAAATTCAATATGAACTTGGAAATATATGACAAGAATTGTTGAGAAAATATTAGAACACACAAAGCCTCAATTTGTTTTCTTTGAACTAATAAAAAGCTGGCTAGGGTGTTGAACTAGTTTTCCTGAAAATCAATTTTCAACTGCCTTAAAACTGCAAATTGACAAAGAAAATTAGATTCCTCTCTCTTATCCGAACCCAGAAAGTTTCCAGAAGAGAAAGTCAAAAGCACCATTTCTTTTAGAAGACTACTGCAGTTGAAGGTTGCTGAGACCAAAACTAACAAAAATCTAGATTCAATAAATACTAGCAACAAAGTCACAGACCAGTAAATCTTGGTGATAGGCTTCCAACAAAAATCGACAATAGAGTGGGTGAAAATAGTTACTGTAATAAATATTCAGTGCTGGCACAACTGCACTAAATTGAAATGAAAAAGAGAGTCACCCATTCTCACAACGGTTTGCATCACACATGTTGTTCCACAGGATACAATTTCCGAAACCACTGTAGCATATCAGGAAAACAGCTGCGACAAATATCAGACTGCAGATGGAACATGGTTTACGCTCTAAAAAGAAGCTGACCATGTAAAGAAGCATGAACATAACATGAGTATTGAGAAGTGCAGGATTTAGCGGCTTAGGAATAAGTAAAACTGGAATCAACCATTGTAGGCAATACATTTTGTTTGGTTATGTGTGTGAGTATTCTGCGGCCAAAGTCATACGCATTCACTTCACATTCAAACACGTATGCGCCAAACGAATCTTCCAGAGGCGAGACGTACAATGCAGCATGTATTTCTGCTGAAATACTCTCCGAATGTGACAAAGTTCAGCTTTTCTTCACGCCAAATATCACGAAAGGAAGAAATTCTACATGACGTTTGTTTGCGTTTGCACTTACACATGCACACCCTTCGGTTTCATTTGATATGAGAAATCACGCGCTGCCGCTAAACCGAAAAGAGAACACAAAAATGGAAGAAAGGAAGGTAACTTAAGAAATTCTTGAGCTTCGAGAGAGCAGCCTTAGTTGTTTCGTTACGTCTCGAGGTTTTTTCCCTAATTGATGTCGGTCATGAGGGCCAGAGAAATTATTTCAGCCCACGACGCCATAAGCTGAAATTCTCATAACAATAACAACTCGATGACGAATTATAATCGTGCGGCTGCAGCTGCAACTGCCACCGCCCCGCCCCGCCACCCACCGCCACTCCACCACCAGTCAGCTGGCGCCGCTCGGCGAAGCTCAGCTGCTGAAGTTTGTCGCGGACCAAAACAGAAATCGTCACGACGTTTGCGAAGTTCGAAGATACGTCCCCGCCGTTTCTAAATCGCGCTTCGATCTGCACTTTGTCAAGTCGCCCGTCGTCAACCCTCCCAATCATGGTATCCTGCTCGCACTACCGCGACCTGCTGCAGAGGGAGCGGGCAGCCATCGCCGGCCTGTGCGATGAATGGCAGAGGGTTTTGGATTTTGCTGCCGCCTCCAGCGACAAGGACAAGGACAGCGGCCTGCCCATCCCGGAAGACGTGTGTGGCAAGATTCAGATCGCAGTCGGTGAGTGTTCTGTGTCGAGCGGGACTGCCATTGGTCGTGATGGCGATGCGACAAGTAGGCCGGGGCTAGGCCTTAGGCCAGGCCGGGCAGGTCGAGTCGCCGTCGCTACCATTGGCCCGGCCCGTGGTGTTCCAAATTTATCTCATCTCTGGGGGCCTAAGGGTGCAGTGCGGTGCAGCGATGCGGCTACACCTTCGCCGTGGTGCATCTGTTTTAAATTTATCTCATCTCGAGGGGCCTAAGGGTGCATCGTCACTGTGGTGCATCTGTTTCAAATTTATCGAGCACTCTGCTCACTGTTGGGCGTGAAGCGTTTCATTTCTGTGAGTGGCGTTGTCAATAGATTTAATGTTAAGGACAGCAATGTAACGTTTTCTTTTTAACTTTCTGTAGCCCTTTTTCAAACCTTCCTGTTTCTTCTTTCAGGGCAAGCACAACTCCTAATGAGAAAAAAATTTGTGCAATTCAGTGGGCTCATACAGGCCTGTGAAGAAGATTCAGCTGAGAGACCACCAGTCACTGTCGAGGATTTGCAGGGTTTCTGGGAGCTGGTTCATATCCAGGTAAGTGCTGATGCCTACATGTGAATGATATGGTCGCCGGCTAGAGTCTGAAGCATTTGTTTTACCTTTGTGCACAGGTGGCTGACATTCATAGTAAATTCTCAGAGGTTGATAAACTGCGGGATAACAACTGGGAACCTTTACCTCTCCAAGAAAACCAGGTAGCTCTCAAACTTAGTTTCTCTTGTCTTGAGGATATTTCCTGTTTGTGTCTGCCTACATACATCTTTATCTTTTAGCGCAAACCTCTTGGCAATTTGAATAAACCTGCTGCAAATGGTCCTCAGCGTCGGAAGCCAGCTTCTGTTGTCACGAAAGACTTCTCTATGGAAGCCAAAGAGAGACTTGCACAAGCTAAGGCTATGATTCGAAAGCGAATGAAGGAGCAGTGTTGTCAATAGGAAAATGGAGTATTTCATGTTGTAATTTTTTTTGTGAAAGTCTGTTTGTTATATTATGTCAATTCAACTGTATTCTATTAGTATTCAAGTTTTATGTTGTGGTTTTTATTATGTAATCTAAATTGTTTGCTCAGATTGGTGTAGTGGTTTTTATTATGTAATCTAAATTGTTTGCTCAGATTGGTAGGTTTAGACACTAAGTTGGATTGGAAATGTCTGTGATGTACCATTAACCTGCCTTTTATATATGTTTAAAACTATTTATCATAGGACAATTGTGCCAAATAGCTCTGAACTAATGTAAGATTTTAACGAAAATAAATTTTTTCTATCAATTAGACTTTGTTCATTGCACCCTTCATGCCTCAGGAATATCACCAGTAATTCAATCACTTGCTTTTAAGGTCTTTATTACAAACACTAACAGAAACAAAACAAATAAATCTGGTCTGAAATCATGGTTTGAGGTGATCAGTATTCTTTGACAAGGAATGAAGTAGTTTTTTCACATCAACAGAACTTACAAAGTTAGAACCACTTTCCCTACCCGGATTTTTGGCAGGTGCTTTAATGCGTCTTTAACGCCATCAAATGTCACCGTATGATGGATATTAGGTCTAAGAGGAATAAATCACATTAAAGAACAGTACACAGGAAAATGTTAAAATGCCACCAGCATTTTACTTACCGAATAATTCCCGTTCCCACTTTCCTCATGATGTCCATTAGAATGTGCTGATATCGGCCTTGCTGGGCGTGAGATAACATCCAAGCCTGTTCACAAAGGAACCCCACACTGGCACATCTTAAAAATAACAGCTTGGAATTGGGGGGATCCAGCTATCAAAAGAAAAATGATCAAATTAAGTAAAATTACAACAGAATAAAAAATAAAAATAAAAACAAAAATGATAAATAATTAGCAAACCTGGAGATTGGGTTCACATGTCACCCAACGTCCACCGACTGCTAAACAAGAAATTATATCATGTTTGGTTGGACGCACCAAAGGCTCTACCTTTTCTTCCTCAATAATGTTTGAGTCCTGACAACAAAAGTACAGAGAGTATAAATTTTATGTGCTCAGTTATAAGGAAAAATGAAGTTTGTGTTCTTTTATTATTTTGTTGGACACTGCAAATACCATTTGTGTGGGCAGTGATGCAATTGTGTCAATAATTATATTAACACCCAAGTTGCCTGTTTCTGCATTGCAAGCAGCTTTCAGGCTTTGGTTCTTCTCATTCAACTCAACAACCTGCACTGCAATCGAGAAAAATTCCACAATAATACGCTTAATTAAGTAAATTTACAAATTGTAAAAATTGTAAAGAGCAAATACATACACAATGGCACACCCAAACTCTGAATGTAAGTTTTCTCATCATTTGATGAACAACTGGTCATGACTCTGGCGCCCCAATGATGGGCTAATTGAAGCAATGTTGATCCCAAAGATGTGGCACCATTCAGTACCAAAACTAGACATCAAATAAAAAAGAAAGAAGGGAAAAACCATTTAAAATCATTGAGAGCGGAAAATTTATGAGAGGCCAGCAAAGGATACTGGGTGAGTAGAAACGAGCAGGTGGTTTCCACCTCTCAAATAGAACCGAAATAATCCCCACTGTCCTCTTCATAATGTCGCAGTGAGAAATAGCATCACTAGTATCAGCCCACCTGTATCATCAGATCCACCAAGACGGCCCATGTAATGAAGGGCTATGTATGCTTTGACAGCATCCCCTACACAGCCAGCAGCATCGACAAAGCTCACCCCATCTGGTATGTGAACTGAAAAGATTTTTTTGAAACATTAAAACAGATTAAAGCATAAAAGCCCGATTTCATATCTTTAAAACATGTTTGTTCACTCACCCACATCAAATTCTTGTAACACTACAAAATCAGCACAACCTGACTGTCCATAGTCCAGTGGAATAATACCTGAAACAAAATAAAGGTATGTGATTTAATGGTGGGAAACAAAGTCTCTGAGTCTGCTTTGTGTACCACTTACCGACAACATAATCTCCTTTGGCCAGTGTGGTCACGTCTTCGCCCACAGCCTTTACAACTCCAGCTATGTCCTGGCCGGCAGGCAATTTACACGATTTATTAGGATTGCCACCAATCTTGCCAATGGCCTGACATAGCACTTCTGTTGCCGGGTCCTTTCCCACATTTCCACAACAATGAAGCCAGCTTGAAAGACTGCAAGCTTTCACTTGAATGAGAACACTATTCCGCTCTAAATCTGGTAGTTCAGCCTGTCAGATTTTGAATTACATTATATTATATTGCAATGAGTCATAGTGATTAAAAGAGAAATTTGAAACTATGTTAAAGAGATGGAAGAAGAAGGAAAGAAATCAACTGCTACCTCAAAAAAAAAACCAAAGTCTCATACCTGGTCGACTTCAGTGAAATTCAGGTTAGAGCCATTGTTGATCTCCACAAACACTGTTTTGGTTGATTTAAATTTTGTCATTTCGGACTATTTTAATCACATAAGATTCATAGTCTAAGAAAATTACAGTTATTAACCCGCAGGCTCTCTTCACGAGAAGAAATATCAAGGAAATGGAAAGCGACACTGCCTCGGGACAACACCCATGACAACACTCCCCCAAACCGGATTCACATTCCACGCATGCCATCAATGACAGACAATGCTAACAACCTACGTTCATGGAGGGTAGGTGACTTGAAACGTAATTTAAATCCCTAAAACAGAAATACTCTGAAATTTTTTTTTCTTACGAGTATGTTTCAGTACTTCATTCAAAGTTTCTCTCCAGAGATGAAATTAAGGCCATTTTATTGTGTTCTTTTCGTAAAGTAATTTTTCTAATGTTAGCGGTAAGTGGTTAGACAAATGACAAACGGATATCAACAACAACAGCAGACCAGAGCAGACGAACAAGTGTCTTTTAAGGGTCTAGTGCTTCAAGAAAATGGAAACAAGGCTTTGTGCAGATGTTTTGTCAGGACTGAAACGACTGGGTAATTCGACTCTGGTAAACGAGGACTTGTTTTCGAAGTTACTAGTCTGTGGTGTCAATACCATAACCCAATCAAATTCACAGTCGCTGAACTTTTTAAGTACGTTATTCATCAAAAAGTTGCAAAAATATGTGCCTTATTCTCTTCTTAACTCTTCTCTCTCTATAATAAATACCCTTGTGATTTTTTTTTCGTTACACTTCTTTTTACTGATAATGTTGGCAGGTTTAGCAACAGGTTCGTCGAAGGGAGATGTCATGAAAGAGGCTCATTTTTCTCTCCTAGCATTACTGGTTGAGGCTGCTCGCATGGATGTTTCCTCAGATTCATTGCAGTCATTCCTAGAATCAAAAGTAAACTGGCCTGCCAACCGCTGCAAAAAGCTCACCACTGCATTTAACGAAGCTTTACCTCATATTCAAGTTTCGCTTGCAAATGTGGGATTTCATCCTCCTCATGTGGTGGATGTGAAATGGAGCCTTCTCCACAACATTAAGGTACTTAATTGGCATTTCACAATGTCTCTTTCATCAATTTCATGATTTTGCTAACAGATCCATCTTTGGCACTTTGTTCAGTCCAGCAGTAGTGAACATGCAGCCAACACAATTGTTGCAGTGAATTTCAAAACCGAAGGCATGACAAACAGTTCAGAAGATGATGTACAGTTTATGTGCACTTTGCCTGAGCTTCAAGATTTAGTCTCAAAATTAAAAGAGGCATTACGACAGATGGAGCGTGTTGCTCAAATGAGTCATCCGTAATGACTTGTGAAGACAGTCAACAAAACCAATCAATAACAAGTGAACTAAAATTTTCTTTTTTGAAAATAAATCAACTTGCAGCCATGATACTCCAATTAACGAATACATAAATTTAGATTTTGCTACAAACCATTCCTTAATTTCCGCTTCCCAAAACCTTTTCCTGACAAGGCAGTCATTCAGCTGGACTCTATGCCCTGATTTTCTTGCTCTGTATGATGTTACTAACTCAACTAAACTGTGCCACCTACCAATTGTCAGAGGCAACAGCCATGGCATTCACTTCCATAATTAAAATAAGGAAACTAGGGCAATGAAATAAAACAGTTTTCTTGCTGAAACATTTATTCACCTTGGGTAATTTTAAAGACCTGGGCTTCCATTCTGCAGTACTTAACATTAATAATCAGTAAAATAATTGACAGCTTCAAAGAAAAAGACTGCAATACAAATAGTGTAACAAAATCTGGGCAAGAATAAAGATTAACACAGAATCTTCAAAACACAACTTCAAGGAAAACAGATTGAAAAAACAGGGAGGAGACATGGAGGGAGTAAAAATGTCTTAACAAATATACTTCTTGGTGATGTAAAGGTACAGAGGATATAACAAAAAAAAGTAATAATTAAAAACAAATCGTACATTTTATAGCGAAACACTGAATGTGAAATAACAAACAAACATCTTACAATAAACCACCATGCACCATGTGTTTGGGGCAAAGCAAACAGCTAAAGCAATGTTTTGATTCATAGAAATAGACACAAAAATGGCAAGAAAAAACAAAGTTTGTTCAAAAAACAGATTACAAATTACAAAAATTCTGCTGACAAATTGAAGCTGTGAGCAAATTTTACAGAGTTTGGCAGATTATCTTGCTATGTCATATCTTATGTGTTACAACATAAGTAAAGAGGACAAGACTCTCAAAGAGCAATACAAACACAGGGCAAAGAAATAGTCAACAGGGATAAAAATTGCAACATGACTAGGGGTTCACTCCATAACTCTAAGTACGGAACACGCAAGACATAAGATAATGAAGGTTGACATTCAGACATAGCAAGAAAATCTATAAAATACATAGCACAACCTGGAATGACATATGAGGGATGGCTGAACCAAAGAAACAGGGTATCAATATCCAGCATGGGTATACATCACCTAACTTAACTCTTACTGTATATCAGATCAATAGAATCTCACATATAAAAGAAGACAGGAAGCTAACATTATGAGCACCATTTGGTCATATACACACACACAATAAAACAACTTAAAATGAAGAATGTATGTACATGATTTGTACTAAGGCTGTCTTTTCATCTTGTTTGTCTATTTACAAATTGTATGTCAGATCACACAAAGTATTTTATTTACAATTAAAAAAAAAATCCCACAACCATAAACATGAATGTCTTAAGACCTATAATAAAAGGCAATGGTTTATACATCAAGATAGTACGAATAGGCCAATGGACAGCCTTAGTTCTGTTATCAATGGTGAAAGAATTAATTAGTTAATAAAATGAAATTAAAAGGGCCCTATTCCACAAATACATACACATGGAAAATGATATACAATTATACATAAGTATATATATAGCTGAAAAAAGATGATATGAAATTATTCTGCAATGAGAAAGGAACAAACAGGAAAGAAAACATTACACAGAAAAACAAAAAGGCAAGAGGCTCATAAAATTCACAACCATGCTCAAGGAACTACTTTTGTTAACAAAAATATTGAAAATCATATCAAAAGCAAAGACAAGAATCAGACTGAAGAGGCAACACTTATTTTTGAAAGGACCAGACAAAGCTGAGCTAAATGGATCTTGACTGCTGACTTCATCTGGTCCCTTTCTATTAAGTAAAAATAATAAACAAATAACGATTGAGATTTAGTACGAGAATAACAACAAATGTCAGTTCTTCTGGCTAGCTAAATGAGAAGTGATCAAGGCCAATAAATGGATATGAGATTTAGAAAAGTGACAGGGGTAAAAACAATGTCTTTGCATATTACGTATGAGACTTACAACTTACAATACATTAAGTATCAATTTCAGATCACTTTTTCAGGCTGAGAAGTATAATACAGGCATTGTTAAAATATTATTAAAATGCAAAAAAATTAAAAGAAAAAAAAAGGCCCAAGAAGATTTAACAGTAACTCTGAGTGTAAGGTGACATCACAGTTTCCATCAACAATAGGCACACAATTAAAAGGACAGATAACATATGGCCAATTGAATAACCCACATGAAAGCAGACCAAAAAAAGCCAATGCTTCATCAATTTGATCATTCATCCATTTTGTGAATTTGTCATGAACAGCATTGTTATTGCTTCTTAGGCCACATTTATCACACACAAAATTAAACAGAAATGTCTTAAGAACTAAGCAAACCCTCACCAAAAACACTGGCACACATTATTGAACCTCAGTTAACAGACGGTTTCTCCTGCAGAAGACTTAACGAACAAGACTTTCTTACTATGGTAACCACACAACAAAGAATGTAGTGGATTCTTTGAAAATACTTTTTATCATGAAATTTGATCTTGATAAAGATCTTAGTTGATGGCACTCAGAAGACTTTGCATGAACCATACTATGGCTGAACCCTTCCAAAAGAGAACTGAAAATTAGTCAATAAACAAAATGAAAATTCAATTTCAGGATGGGATTACCAAGAAAATGTTTGTGCCATGTAAAACAATGTGGGCAAGAATAAGGGCAGTAAAAGTGCATTTCACCACAACACAGTGCTAAAGGGATGTAAATTCATCAAACAAATGCAAACGAGCACATTTAAAACTTCAAAAAGAAAACAAAAAATTAAGTAGGAAGAGTATTATTTTTGACCGCATTTCTGACTGAGAAAAAGAACAGGTAGTAGTTTCCTAACAAGCAGAAGACAATATCTCCAGTTGACTCACAATCATGACAAGCATGATGAATATAGGCCTCCAAAGTCAACAGAAAAAAGCTTAACTCAAAATTTAAAAAAGAAGGGGTCAAGTGAAATTACAAATCACACTTGCAAAAATAAAAATCAATCAAATACTTCATCAGGTACAGATATTAAGTACATGAAAAATAGGGTGTGCTATTGTTCTGATGTAGCTGCCTTCAAACGTTTATCAAAGAGGAGCATAAAGAACTGAATATAATATTGAGCAATCAACACATACTGAGCAATCAGATGCAACAAATACAAACTTGCACATTTTTTTAAAGGTGTCTCAACCCATTGCGAAAGTGAGAGGCACACCATAAAGTGTCGAATGTTAAATTGTAGAAGCTACAACCAACAATGAGAGCACTTAAACAATTAAACAGATTTACAGAAATAAAAACTTTCCTTTAAACCAGTGGCATCAAGTACAAAAACAATTGAAGAAAAGCACTTTTTGTAAACCATAGAATCACAGCCCCAACAGCCTTTCTTGTATTAATTTGCACCACATAAAACCACACAAAAACTGAGTAACTAAAATGTAAGATTTAACAATGCCTTGTAGATGTAAAAAGTCACAACAAAAGAACTAAAGGCAACTCACCACAGTAAATCAAAAACATGCAGTCTAGTCGACAACTTCGTGTTTTTTATTGCATTTTTTTTTTTGTTTTGTCTTTGTTGCACAAAAAAATTACTGTATTTAAAATTACAGACATTGAGCACTAATACAAGAGGAAAAGTACAGTAGCATTTAACCAGTCCCTTAACATCATAGGTAATTTTCACAAAGACCTTGTGGCTGCTAGGCTCCACACTGCAATCTTCATCACTGCATGGCTACTACACCAGTCTTGTGAGGCAGAATTTCATGGCCCTTTAACACATCACATAAAAAGAAGAAAACACTTGCAAAAACTCAATTTAAACATCACTAATCAGTCAAGATTTTTACTAAGAGAATAAAGCTAAGGGACTGTCCAGAAAAGAAGCAAGAGAACGTACACTTGTCTGAGAACACTGAAATATTATCCTAATTCACAAGTAGCCTTAATCAAGAGTTTACTAATTACTTAAAATCATAGGGCTCCTCTGAAGTTTCGATCCCTTCCTCTTCTCCATCTTCCTCATCAACTTCGTCTTCCTCATCATCTTCCGGTTCAGGTTCATAGAAACGGGCTTTCCCTCCTCTTTTTCTACCAGTGCTTTTAAGTAACCCTTTAACTTGTTCATTTTCTTCCACTTTGGAAGGATCATTCTCTATATCTCTGTCTTTATTTCTTCCTCGGGCAGTTTTTTCTCTCTTTGTCAATGTAAAGTTTCCTGTTGTGGTGTACACCTTGTTGAAGTAAGTATAAGTAAACGGCCCTTGTGTATCTGAGTGGGTTTTAAGATGGTTATACAGGTGAGAATACCCAATGAACGCCATTTTACACAAATTGCACTGGTAAGGCCTTTCACCAGTGTGTGTGCGCATATGGATCTTGAGGTTCATCGAAACAGTAAATGACTTGTTACAAGTAACACATTTGAAAGGTTTGTCCCCAGCATGTGTTTTTACATGACGTTGAAGGTGAGCGCGGGATCTAAATGCTTTGTCACATTGATCACACTTAAAAGGCTTTTCTGTTGTATGAAGTTTTGTATGAATAGCTAATCGAACAGCTGTAACAAAACACTTTCCACAATAAATGCATGCATGTGATTTATCACCATTTTCTGGTTCAACTGCATTTTTTGGTTTTCTACCTCTTCTTTTAGGGGCTGGTGGAATAGGCTTCACAACCAGCTTACTTAAAGGTTCATCATCACTATCTTCACTGTTCCCATTTACATTTAGTTTGCCTGGACTTTGAGAGTCATCAAGGACAATATGGAGAGATTTTTCACTGCCACTTTCAGAATGGACGCTCTCAACATGCGACTTCAGAGCAGCTGTGGAAGGAAATGAGTTGTTACATAAGCTGCATTTCACAGGCCGGTCAGGAGCATGTGTTTTCATGTGATTTGTGAACAAGGTTCTTGAGGCGAAACTGGCTTTGCATACATGACAGGAGTAAGGGTTGTCACCACCCATACAACCTTTGCTTGAACCAGGTGAGGTAGCAAGAAGCATTTCAGGACACGAACCAGAAAGGGCATCATTAATATTGATATTAAGCTCTTCATTCAATCTCGATTTTCCAGAATATCCCATGTTTGGACTGCCTATTCTATCTGCCATCACACCATCTTTCTGACCGAGCAAGTGTGAGTTCATGTCATCACAAAACTTGGTGTTAGCATTCACTTCCATGAGCCTTGAATCTTGTGGAGAGGAGCACTCACTAACAGACTTCTTATTACTGTAGGTAGAGCCAATGCTATTACCAAAACTCAAGTTGGATTCTTCAATAAAATTCATGTTTTGAGGATTGGCTGAAGCATTTGAGACAGAGTCTGGAAAGCAGTTCCCATTATTACTAAAAGGAGGATTTTGCATCATCATACTATTACCAAAGTTCTGGTTAGGTGAAGAGTTGCCAAAGTTCTGACACATATTGTTGAAACCTTGCGCACTGCCACCAATAAATGGTGAATTTGCATTTGTAGTGCCATAGTTAGAATTTACATTACCTCCACAGAAGTTTGGACCACCAAAACGTGCATTGGAATTGGAATTAAAATTTAAATTTGAACGTGGTCCACAGCTACCACTTCCACTGCTTTGAGTACTGTGAGTACTCTGAACACTTTGCACACTCTGCACACTTTGTACACTATTTTCGGGGTCTAAAGGTGAAGGAGCAGACGCAAGTGGTTCAGTCAAACTGGGAGACGCCAGTGGTTCTAGGGGAGATGTCACGACAGTGTTGCTCATGGCAAATTTTTCTAATTCCTCCATAGTTCCTAGTTGAGGAGATCTTGTAGAATAACTGTCTTGCCGTACCACTCTTGACCGCGAACTCCCACCAGTTCCCACACTGCCTGGGCTACGTGTGGGCATAACATTCCACGGGGATGGAGTGTTCCTTGAGTCCATCATTTCACCACCACTTGAATAGTCCTGCTGATGCTGCTGTTGAGCGTACATTCCATAGTGACTTGGGGGTGGAGTGTAAGCGTCATAGTAGCTTGGAACTTGATTTTCACAGGATCTAGACAGCTTGTGCTGTTCTAGATCATTGAATGATCCAAACTGAGAATAACACTTGTCACAATTATAGGAAACATTTGGGTCACAACATCTACTTCGCACATGGTCAGCCAACATCCATGGGTTCATGAATGAAGCAGAACATGAAGAACAGCTGTAAGTACTTTCACTACCACTGCTTGGAGGGGTACCTGGAGTCTCGGGCATGTAGTTCATGTCATACATCCGTCCATCGTAGGTTTGCACTGGTTGCTGCTGCTGCTGCTGTTGTTGCTGCTGCTGTTGCATCATCTGCTGCTGTTGCATGTTTTGTTGAGGGGATTGCTGTTGCATTTGCTGTTGATGCATACCTTGTGGATGTTGCAATGAGACTTGATGTTGCATTGGATGTTGCTGCATATTTCCTTGTTGCTGCATAGCAACTTGTTGCATTGAGTGCTGTTGCATGGAAGCATGCTGTTGCATTGACTGATGATGCTGATGCTGCATGTTCATCTGCTGCTGCATTGACACCTGATGTTGCATTGACACCTGCTGCTGCTGTTGAAGATGATGCATCTGCTGCATTGAGTGGTGCTGTGAAGGCATGGAATGCAATGGTGACATTGGCTGGCCAGAAACTCTAGGTGATCCATGGTTCATTGACTGTTGAGACATATACTGCTGTGGGATTGAACCTTGCTGTGGCATGACGTAAGGACCAGCATGCTGCTGTGAAGGATACGAATTACCACCAGGAGACAGTTGATGCTGAACATGATGTTGAATGCCTTGTGTCTGCATTTGAGATTGCATAGGCTGTTGCTGCTGCTGGATAGCTTGGGTCTGTATTTGAGACTGCAAGGGCTGCTGTTGCATTGCTTGCATTTGAGATGACAAAGGCGACTGCTGCATGGATTGATGTTGAATCGACTGCTGTTGAAGAGGATGTTGCAAACTGTGTTGCGATGTTTGAGGAGAGACAGATTGGATAGGTTGCTGCTGCATGGGTTGCTGCATAGACTGCTGCTGAATTTGAGACATGCCATCTCCTTGATAAACTTGACTCTCTCCATGCGTTTTGATATGAGCTGCCAACCTTGCTTTGTAAGTGAAGGGCTTGTTGCAGTGAGGGCAGTGGTACGGCTTGTTTGAAGGCCCCATTCTGGAATCTTTAGCACTCATATCAATTTCTAAACAAAGTTCTTTTTCACTGACTCTATCTAAGGTCACTTCACTACTCTTCTTGAAACAATCTTGCTGTTTCAATGTTTCATCCAACTCACTTGAGGAAGCTTCACTCACTTCTTTTTCTTGATTGTGAACCTGTGGCAGTTTGGACTCACTGTCACTTGATCCATCCACTTCACCCTCTTGTTCAGGACATGTCTGTATCAAAGCCTCATCATCTGCTGATGTTTGTTGAGCAGATGATTTTAGAGGTTCATCCAGAGACAATGACTTGTCCTGAAAAGTGATAAACATGACATAAGACCTAAACCCCTTAAACAAAGATAAACCAATGTCTTATTTAAAAATAAGAAATAGCCATGCACAAGGCTAGGTAATGTTTAGAAATCATGACTCTTACTGTTGAGGGCTGACAACCTTCACCCAAACTAGGCTGATCCTTGGCCTGGTAAAGAGAAAATTATGACCATTACTTTTAAGAAACAAACAAGAATTTTGACAATAAATGCGTGCAAAAGAGATGGAACTTACTGTGGACTTAATATCATTGCAAAAGGTGTGGAGTGCAGCATCAACTCGTAGACAATTTGACCGAAATTCATAAAATGTATCTACACGATAGATGCAGCGGTGGCAAATATTCACAGGCAATCCATCATTAGCCTTGACCTGAAGAGAAAAAACAAAAGGGAAACCATCAACTGGAGATACTTAATAATAGTGAATTCTTGTCTGCTTGCAACCGAGGTTCCATTTCCTGAACATTGGCAATAAGGCATGGAACTATATAAATCCCTTAACATACCAAAGTGTGATAGAGAACATGCATCAGACTCATGAACATTGGCAGATTATTTAATTATATTAAATAAGGGGAGGGGGGGAGGCAGAACCAAAATTTTTAAGTGCAAAGCGACCGATTCAAACACATGCAACCCTTTCCATGAAGCTCACAGTGATGTTAGCTAGTTTCACATCATTACATAAAAATGATGATAGCATCTTGTTAAGGTAACTACAAAGATGAAGCTCAAAGAGCTCATAAAAAAGTGCAATCCTCAAAGCAAGGGTACTGAACGTTACATAATAATTATTTAGGCCTGACATTGATCCAAAACAAAGGTAAAACAACAAGAAAAGTCACCCAAGTACTGCTGTTGCAACTCACCGACATTTTAACAAGTTACAAGAAAAAGAATTCACACAAAATGCGCTACAGAAGAAATAGAAAATAGGCCCATAAAGGAAAGGTAAAACTTCATTTTTTTTGATTGACAAGTATGGCAAAATTGTTTAGTCAAAAGCAATCATAAACTTAAATGAAATTATGGTTAAGGGTTATTATACACTGCAAATGGATTAAAAAGGAAAAGCTGTGTTAGAAAAGAAACCCAAGCATGAAAAGCCAAATGTTGAAATTTGGAAGCAGTTGTTTAAGCACAGACCTTTATTCCACACTTTTGTCCAACATGCCGAGCATGTAAAGGCAATACGCTTAGCAATTATATGCACCGAATAGAAAGACCTAAGCTGAGGGGGTGGTGATAAAAAACGAAAGAAAGGATCATTTGACAGAGAAAGTATTAATATTTTAAAACCAGAATTACAAATAATGAATGGTGATGGAGAAAAAAAGGTGTAAAGCAACCTTTAATGCAACTTTAGAAAATGAATGAGCCAATTAAAAAGCAAACAGAATAAAAGTGACATCACCAAAATTTCGGCATAAAATTGACAATCAGTTAGAGATTAACTTTACATACACTAACAAGTATGTAGAAACACAATGTTTCTGTCTAAAAAAAGTCTTGAAATGCCCCGAACTAGGTTTAAAAATAAAACTGGTATTCAGAACTTCAAGTTGTTTTCTTTCCTTCCAAGACCAAATAGAATTTAAATTAAGAGAACGTGGGAAGTCACAAGGATACAAAATGATTAAGAGCGTAACCTGACGGTCAGTAAAAATTTTAATAAAATAACTCGGCTTGAATGAAACTGAAGGAAAGCTAGCCGTTTCTGTCAAGCTGCTTGTTCCTACAAGGAGGCACGTCAATCTCTATAAATTTCGATAAAAGGAAAGAGAACAGGGAAGGTCCACCCACAGATGATCAGTTCTGAATCATAACAACACAGAGGCAACAATTTTATACAAATATGTGCTCAGAAGTAATTCAATGACCAAATGTCCTTGGACAGAACCAAACACTACTCAAGAGAAATGTGACCGTTAGAGCTAATTTGTGTATAAATTTTGGATTATAAATACTTGCGTATTGTTTACATAGGTCTTACCTTTACTTATGGGCGTTAAATAATACAAATTGCAGTTTGTAAACGGGTATATCGGGGTGCGAATGCGTAAGCCTACCCTAGCCTAGCCACCTAACCTCAATTGTGGTACAATACAGTATCCTTTCAGGCAGGGATATCTTATGTCCACAGGTTTCTTCACCGAATAAATGCACCATCAATCCATCTTCGGCAAGGCACAGGCGGCACGACTGATTCAATCTACTTAAGTTTTTGTCCGATATGTCCATTTTTCCACATATTCCAATCTAAGCAGCGCGAACTGTGCCGCGGCCGCTGCGCTTTGCCTCCGCCATGACCTCCTGGATCACCGCAAACACAAAACACAAACAAACAACACGGCGCTGTGGGCGAATGTGCAGCCAGCGTCGCCAGCGGATGCCTTGTGCGCATGCAAGGCCCCAGACAAATTCCATTCCCATTCACCGTAACAAAGGGGACGATTGCAGGAAGTCGCGATCCTAATTCTATGAAAATACAGGTTTATTCAAGGCGTTCGTTGTGACGTGATTTGAAATTCCCGCGTAGGAGAAGGAGGTGGCGCGGTTGTTTTGTTTATGACCGCCTCTCGCGCCTACTCGCGCCTACCCCCGCCTTCCCCCTCTCCCACCCCTTCCTGTCCTTTCCTCCAAATCGTCGCTTGTCAGGCCAAGCCAGCCTCCACCTTCCGACACCTTAGCTTTAAGTTTGGTCGTGCTAGTTTCCCTAATTTTCGACGAAAATAGCCGTGGCTACAATTTTGAAGCAGCATCCTTTAAAGCAACAAAGCCCCGAGCCCCGAGGCATGCGCGGTAGGCCCGTCGCATGAGGGGCGTCTGAAGTCTCTGTGTCTATCTCTATCGCACGCAACGCACGCGAGGGAAAAAGAAGGGAAGTCGAGGCGGAGTTTCGATGACAGCCCGAAAACAAGACCACAGGGTAGGGGAAGGTTCAGGACCAGGACGTTCTGCAACGGACTCAACATCGTCGCGACTAAAATTCACAAATATGCCTTTCATTTCGAAAGATTGGCGTTCGCCTGGGGAGGAGTGGGTCAAGACTGAAGAAGGATGGGAGAAAAAGAAAATTCTGGAGTGTGGAAGGCAAATTTTGGGCTGCGCTCCAGGAAATATGGATTCAAGGCAAGTTTCTTGTTTGTTTACCATCACAGCTGATTGTGACTCAATCAATAGCCCACTTTCTCATTTCGTCTCTTGCCAGAGTGGATTTCCCTGAAGGGTTTCACGCGCTCACGCCAATCACTCGAGGCAAATTCCTCGTTTGTTTCCTTTTCAAATGCAGACTGTTGTGCCTTTATTTCTCTATCCTTGTCCTCTACTGTTATTAGTCTTCTTTGTTCTTCATTGAACCCCTTCAATAAGACCCCTCTGAATGAACCCTTTTGTGTTGTCTTTTCTGAGGTATCTGAGAAAAACATAGTTTTCTAAACAAAATATTTTCATTTATGACATTACCTCTTGATTTGCAGAACATGTTGACTGTTTCATGGAACATTTTATGAGTGTACACTGTAAAATTTAAAATTTTGTTATAGATTCAACCCAGCAGGCATTACTGATTTCAGCACTGATGAACCATTCAGTGAAAATATTCCTAAGGGATGGTAAGAATTGGATTTGACATATTGTTTTGAAAAAATTTACATCTTGTTTTATTTTAAAAGTGAAAAATTAGTTAGAAGTTGGTGAGAGGTAATTACTTGTCTGTTTTTCAGGTGTTCAAGCAGCCTAGATGAAGATGATAAGGAAAACATGCAAGTTGAAGAGCAGGGAACAGCTGTTTTTATGGATGGCAACAATCGTGTTGATCTGAAAGTTGTTGTCAATAGAACAAACAGTCAAGGTAGCAGCATACCCAACTACCCAAATTGGAAGAATCTTCCTTCAGCTTAAATTTTTAAGTGACTAATTTTTAATTGCAGATGGCACAATCCAACCTCACTGCCACATAACTGTCAAATGCACTAGAGAGGTGAGATTATTTTTACCCTCTTCCCACAGTTTTGAGTGGTCAAAAGGCAAATCTGACACTATTTACTATGAATTTTATGTTGGAGTTGAAAGTTGAATCAAATGCTGTGTTGACAGTCCATCAAAGACTGAGTTAATAATTTAAGCAATTCTTTATCAACATGCTCTTTTCCCCTTTTCAATTTAATTATTTTTTTTCCTGAGAAGAATGAAATTGAATAAAATGACTAATTTTGTGCATCTTTTCCAAAACAGATTGCAGGGTTTAATGGGCTCAGTGATGCTCTAAAAAGACTTGACTTTCGGTCAGCAGTGCATGATGGAAGACGTTTTCATTACATTTGCAAACTACTGGATCTGCTCATCACCCAGAAACTGAGCATGCTCTCTGGTTGTGCTCAGAAAGTGTTATTTGCAATGTTGGAGGAGGTTGCTTATCAGGGTAATTACTTTTCTTAGTGCTCTTCTGTGCATAAAATATTCTTTTGTCGAAAGCAATAAAAAATGCTTCATCATGTTTTATTTTTAGTTTCAGCCAGTCAGCAAAATATGCACATGTTGAGAAAACTCTTGACAGAGTTGCGGGCCATGATTGATTGTGCCTGTTGGGGTCATCCTCTTGGGAGCACTCGCCTGTGGGAACAGCATTTGCAATCCATCGACCGTATTCTGTCAATTGCCAACACCATAGAAATCAGAGAGGTGAGCTATTGTTGATTGAATGATGATTGTTTTTAATTGATGCAAGCTTTACCAGTAAAAATAATATGGTCATATGTGATGATTTGATGACAGTGGTGCTTTAACCACTTCAGTTGTATAATCTGGTGATTTGCTTTTTTTCCAGCCACATGATGACATGTACCCCAAACTTCAAAATTTGCCTGAAGAATGTGTCAGAGAAATATTACTGAGACTAGCAGATCATAAAGATCTTGAAAATAGCAGTAAAGCGTACTCTGTCATGCAGAGTCTTAGCAGTGAGCAACGTATTTGGCGGGAGCTGTGCTCTTTCCACTTTACAGATGTACAAATCAACTGTGTTCTAGAAAAAATTCGGAAGCAGGATAAGCAACTCCTAGAAAAGCAGCAACAGCACTTGGCTCTTAGAGCCAGAGAAAACCAAGATGAATCAACTATTTCTACCAAAGATGGCACACTTCTGGAGATAGAAACTGGAGACTGTGCAGACTGGAAAAAGGTCTACCACAAACTCCGGAAGTAAGTTGGACAAATGTTCTGATTGTCCCCTGAAGGCTAAGCAGCATTCCAGCTCCTTTGAAAAAAACAAAAACAAAAAACATGGTTACATTTTTATGTTTCTTTTAGATCTTACGGTTTGAGAGAAGACTACCCAGAAATGATACAGCTGTGTCGCAATTGTTGCTGCCTCTTCTGGAAGTCGATTGGGCACCCCTGCATTGCTGATCAGGACCCTAGTTTCCAAGAGAAATTAGAGGCAGTTGACAAAAGCTCACTCCATGTTCCTGTACCACCTCATGCTTTCCTCAAGTTCTTTTCCCTGTGATTCTGCTTGATTAGTGATGTTTTGGGTAAGTATTGCATCCCTTCTCAGTACTTTCATGTTAAAGATTTTTCAAGCATTTTCTCATTTTAATTTTTGTTGCAGCAATCCCGGCTAGTCCTCCACCAAAAAGAAGAAAACTTCTTTACTGTCCAGCTCCAAAATAAAGAAGATATGTTCTTAATTTGTGGCAGGCATTTTTGTTTTCTGACTGTTTGTTCACAGAGCAAAGGACAGAGCTGCTGTTAGCGCTGTCACAGAAATTATGAACCTGACCGCACAGCTGTCATCACTTTACAGTTTAAGTGTGATATTCAGAAAACTCAGCCCCAGCAGCTGTCAATTGTGATATTGTGTGTGGAATGCCATTGTGGTGATCTTGTTTAGAGTTGGTCTATCTATGACTACTGCCCATCTGCCCTCATTTATATGTGCTATTTACTTGCCTCTTACTTCATTATTTAATGATTGAGAATTTGTGCTTTAGCGCATCTTTAAATTATTTGTCACTCTTTGTTAAAAATCAATTTTTCAAATTACTCTTTTCCAAGTTGATAATTTTACTTGCCACCAACTATAAAATTATCTTCTTGATCACCAAGTATACTTGCATTCTCTTCTACCTCACTCATCGGAAGATGTGGAATGAGTTTAGTCATGCTAGCAGCTGGATAGTTTCAATGTCTCTATCAAATACAAATAATTTTTAACAAATGTAAAAAATGCAAGAGTTATTGCTAAATGATATCATAATCAATATTTCACATTTTTGTGAAGCAGTTCATCTCTAAGAGGACTGCACTATGTTAATAAGAAGCTGTTGAAAAGTGATTTCTAGATAGTTATACAAATGTTCACCGATTTCTTTCTTTCAGGAAGAGCAATTAATTTCCTGATCATTCTGCATATGGGAAACATTTTGCTGAAGTGCTCGATCTTTTACCCCACTACGTTTTGGTATTGGGTGGTGGTGGAATGTTGTTGTAGTCATTTCCTTTGTATTCAATATTATTTGTGCAGATAATGCACTTGACTTTATGCACTGGAAATATTTTCATTATGAGTTCATAGTGTGTAAAGGCAACAGAGATAATGACAAGTGATCAATGTGTTGTGGCACTAGTTTGTCTTAAGGTGTCCTCGTTCTTTAATATTGTTGCATCATGTTGAACAAGGATTGTGCTCACCATGATGTAATTTAGTGACATGGTTCATCCCTAAACATGCAACACACACTAGATGAAAAGCCTGTGTCATCCTCATTTGACAAACTTTGAGCAATGTTTTCAAGTGTGCAGATTAAATTCTGAGAAAATTGGTGTTTTTGGGTGCTATAATTCCTCAACTAAAACACCTTTCTTTGTTGTATAGTGGTGAATTATGCAATTTGAGAACGAGTCTTCATTTCTTAATATCAAATAATATTGCTTCTTGCTTTAATTAAGGTGCTATCCCTATCTTTTGTGTCAAACCAAGAATTAAAATAGGATTTGCATTAGTTACTCTGAATCTCCTTACAGTAAGAATTTTAGACTTGGTTCAAAAGAAATTATCTGTGTTACTCTCTTTTCAGATATCTTTCCATTTGTTACATCAACTAATCGGTGATCTATTTGGTATTTGGTTTTGTTGTGATTGATATATATGTAAAATGGTGTTTAAGGCAGGCAGACAAAACAATGTTCTGTGATTTCACACCCTGTGATAGGGGATTTCTTTAGAAAAGTTATTTTATAAGTAATTCACTGTTCTCCATGGTTTTTCAATTGGTTGAAATTAATTCACGAATACTCAACAAAATGTGATGAAAAGTTGGGAAGATATTAAAATGACTATATTTTATGTTGGGGGCATATGTCTGCATATTCTGTGCATTTCTACTTAACAGGTTTAAAGAAATGTTCAGGATATGCAGTTTTCTGTTTAGGTCTTATTATATGTTAAGAAAAAAAGGATGTCAAATAGTCAATCTGCAATCCTTTATCCCCAAAGAAGAAAGTATTAGACAACTGTTAAGCTCAAAAAGTCTTTTATTGTGCCTATATCAGACACTGCCCGATTCTTTATCTTCTTCCTGTCCATTTTTGCTTTCCTTTTTTTCTGAAAGCAACCTAGGTTTCTGATAACCATGTTACATGTGTCGTATGTTGCTTATTTTATTAAAAGAAAATTAAAACAAGATTTTACGGAGGTGCTGGTTTGTATTGGAGGCAACTTTTGTTGAGAGCTGAGCACCAACTCAATACTCATAGGAATTGGTCATAAATACAAAAATGTGGAGATATGTTTGAAGTGTTTGACTCCCTTACTTGTCAAAGATTTCTTGCAAGAACCAAAAACCCAACTGAGAATGAAGTGCTTTCAAAATGTATTTTATTAGAATTGAAAATATATTGAACTTTTTAGCGAGTTTCCTTTTTAGGGAGTTTCTCATAGAATATTTTAAGATTATCGTGGTAGTATGTGCTTGTCCACAGGTTGATTATAGTAGCTGTCATGTGCATTGCTGTGTGCAGAGTGTTTTCAAATTTACTGTGAGTTAGAAATTTGGTTCACCTATTTTTGGTGATGGTTCCTACACTCAGTAGGAAGATGTGTCTTTGGTGGAGATTTTTTAAAAACTGTAGTAACGTGAGCACTGCCTCTCATGACCAAGAAAAAGCAGATTTTTGCTTTACTGCTTTTACAGCATTTAAGTGATTCTTTTCTTCAAATTTGCAAGTTTGCTGGAAATTTGCAGTTTTCCTGGCTGCTCATTCACTTGTCCATTGTTCTACCATTCTACTGTGCCTATAGATCATGAATGGGCCCATTGTCCGAGAGCTGCGATTTCTCAAAACATCTCATCTCACTGCCGTGTTCTTAAGTGGTTTCACGTCTTTACAACTTGGGAAAGGAGTAAGAAATTTATACTGTTAGGATACCCATCTTTCTTCATCTGCAACTCAGAGCTAATTATTTAAGTGGATTACATGTCCTGACTTAAGCTTCTAGCAGCATAGCATACTTGGTATGGCAAGTAGTCCCCTCAAGGCTCCTTCTGATTTAAAACCCTTATGAAGTAAGCCAGTAGATATTTTAAATCCTTTAGGAAACAGCTTTGGCTTAGACTTAATGAATTACCAATAACTTATGATCAAGTATAAGTTTCTCTTTGTTTGATTTCTGTTGTGTTGACTAAGTGTTTGTTGTGTGTTACTTGCAGCTATGATTATTGTCAATAAAGTTTTAAAAAAATGTTTGGTTTGTAAAGATTTAAAGACACTGAACAGAATTGGGAGGAAATCTAGACTCAATTATGACACTTGCACATTGATTTAATTGCTGATGTGTTTTGAACAAAGCTGAACCAGACCCAGTTTACAAATGAGTTTTGTATAACACAGGAAATACACTGGACAACTGTTACTTACAAGAGCAACTTACAAATAACATACATGACTACAAGCAGCAACACATCAAATAAGCTAGTGGACAGATTTAAAAAAAATGCTAGGCAACTTAGAACATAAGTTTCGTTTACAATTGTGCTAAAACTTGGGTAAAACCAATTCCCTGCTAAGGACTGTTCAAGAGTGGAGAAAATTGATATTAAGTCAAATTGGCCTTCAGTGCCTCTAGTAAATGGTTACACACAGACATCAATATTTTGAAATTTCATTAAGGTGTGAAATTATATGTTTCTATAGAAAGTAGTTATCAAGAGTTCCACACATAGCGAAGCACAACCTCTTAATGCACAATACCAACACTTGTGATGTTCACTCATCTACAGAGTCTTATTAGTACAACCTAGTATAAACATTCACAAATTGATGAAAATACTGAAAAGTACACTAAATGAACTTCCAGATCAAAAGGAGTAACCATAGGTAACAAACTTACGTTTACAAAAATAAAAATAATTACTGATGAAAGGTAACTAAAAAATGAAACATGGCAAGTTCTCTCTCATCAATGAATTAAAAATGAAAAAAAAAAAAAAAAAAAAAAACTTACGGCAGAATGAGCTATTGTACAGGAAATAAAAAAAACATGCGGTTTCTCAAAAATTTCGCCCATAATGGGGTGCAATTAGGAATGGATTATCTTCAAAAGACAATACCAAACAACAGTCTCAAAACTTGGAATAAGAATGTGGCAGGTGTGTGACTGCACATCAGATCCAGCTGAGGGCACAGTGACACAAAATTGCATTGATACTAAACCAGGAAAAGAGCAAGGGACGAAACTGAAACATTTTAAGCAGTCAACAGAAGATAAAGTATAAGTTATCAGGATAGCTGAGGAGCAAATTGAAACAAGATTCACCAGGAATGGTGATTTACAAGACAAATTAGTTTTACATTCTACAGACAGGGAAAATTCATTGGGTGATGCTTTATATAGCATATGGACAATTACTTAAATCAAACACATGATACTTAAATCTATTCCATGATCACAGACAAGTCAGTGGATTGAATAAGGTACAAATTACAGGATGAAATCCAGCCCATTAATGTCTCCCGAACGGCAGGTCTGCTGGAAAATAACAAAGACAAGTGACAAGGAGAAAAAACAGTAACAACAATTGTACGAGCATGAAATTTAGGAAAAGGACACACATTATTATAAATTTTAAACATTTTGGAAAAGGTTAATGAAGTAACATTTAAAAAAAAAAGTACATAAGGCATTAATGATAAAGATTCCATCAAACTTTTGCAATTTTCAACCACCTACAAAAAAAATAATTTTACAATTCCTTCCCCCTTCTTTCCCACACTTCATTTATGACAAAATTGTAAGTCCCCTTGCTTTCTAAGAATTTTAAATAAACAGAAATGTACATTCACAAGATTTCTCTAAGAGATGGTCATAATAACACATTGGGTAGTACTAGTTAAAAGTGCTTTCAAATTAGAGACTGAGAGCAGTCTGACAATATGTTGAGAGATTTTGAAATAAGAGCAGCAAACAAATACACTTTCTATTTACAAATTAAGTAACCTTCAGTTAGAGGATTTATAAATTAAATATTGCACAGCTAATTTGTTTATAGAGATGCAGATCTCTAAGGTTAAGGATGAGAGTGGCAAAACAAAACAAAAAAAAGCAAATGAACGCTTTCAGTGGTCATTAGAACGAATTATGAAGTATGAAACAAAACTAGAAGTAACAAAGGTTTGGAAACATTCACAGTTAATCATTCACACAGCATGACGCAAAAGCAAGACACTAATTACAGGAGGCAGCCCTACAGACTAATAACCACTGTGCGTGCATAGTTTTTTTTCTTCTGTGCATCCTACACAAATAAGATAAGATAAACATGTAAGTTATGATTACGTTCAGAAAGTTATCAGAAAGTAAAGACGTATAAATATCCACACATTTATAATAAAAATTTGTACTTTGAAAAACATTTTGGACATTTACATGCCAAAATTTGGACATAGCTATCCACATGATAAAAACAATAATAATTACCTAACACAAAGTAGCAGGGGGACAAAGAAACACAATCATACAAATGATCACATAGCTTAAATTATGAAGGAACTACAGTAGTGCAATTATAATCAATAAATCATTTTGTGTATTTTAAGAATTTTACCTAGTCTTTGCTTGGCAGTTGCCATGCCCTTCCTGTGAGTTTTAATTTTAACAACTTTCTTCTGAGAGGCATCAGCAGGAGCAGATTTCCCAGGCGATGTTGGTGGTGGAGTAGCTTGGCTTGCCTGGCCTACCTGGCCTGTTTGACCTGCCTGGCCTGCTAGGCCTACTTGGCTTGCCTGGGCTGCCTGGACTGTCTGGGCTGCCTGTTGAGGAGTAGTAGATGTAGTTGCTGTTGAGGAGGACAAAACCTTAGGAGCTTCTACTTTGGTCGGTACAGCTTCAACAGGCGCTTTGGGTGTCTTTTTAAAGTAGGGTCTCTTTGGGGGTGGCAAACCAGCCCTTTTAGCTGCAGCAGCTTCCAGCCCCTTTTCAACCGATTGCTTTTTGGCACCTTCTCTAGCAGGTCGATGCACCTTGGGTCCAACGGGTCCAACTCTTGCTTTTGGATTCCATGCTTCATCCATGGGTCGTTTACTCCTAGGCTTGAAGACACCATCTTCATCATCAGAAGCATCAAGTGAAGGGTAAATGTAATCTTCATCCTGATGAACTTTGTCTATAGGCTCACCCAGTTCCTCTGCCAACTGCTGAATCTTACTGCGAACTGGCAAATGAACCTTAGGTCTTTGTTGATGAGAACGGCCTGAAGCTGAATCTTGTTCGCAAAACCCGGAACTGCCAAGAGATAGCATACCAGCTATTGCTTCTCTGGTTGATTGAGTTGCTCTTCCAGAATACACATCTTCTGGAGGTTCAACTGTGTAACAAGATGCCTTAAGTAATTCCTCAATACCATTTTTAGGGGTATCAGATACAACATCTACCTCACCTGCAACTTCCATATCTGCTCCAAAGATCTCAGGATTTATATCATTTATATTCACATTAAATAGATTTTTACTTTTCCTGTTACCAACTTTTTCATCAATAAAAAGGCGATTATCTTCATCACTATCGTGGAAGTCATAAATATCATTATCAATTAAAGGCACCTGTTTGTTAACTACAGACGATCCTTTTGGTCCAAATTTAAACCTCAAAATTGTACCACCTTTCAGTTGAGCTGATGGGGTGCTGGAATTTTGTAAAGTTACTTGATCTTTTTGAAGATGTTCATTTTTTATAACTTCCACTTTGGGACTATTAACCGTCTGCTTATTTCGCTTAGACGTAGATTTCTGACGTGGATTCTTAACATTCAAAACATTTGGCGATGATGGCATTTGATGGGGTGACCCTGGTGATGTTGTGGGTATGTATGGACTTGAGCTATCTAGTGATGGAGCATTTGAATATGGATAGATGTTTGGCTTCGGAAGAGTTAGCTTCAATCGTAGCTTAGTGGAATCGTTGCTATCTTGATTGTCAGTGCATTCTGTCTTACATAATGAACCTGAAACACTTGCCAGGGTTCCTGCCAGTTCAGAATCAAATTTGTCTTTGGAAAGGAGTACTTTTATAGGAGTCACATTTGGTGCTTCTTTTTTGGGGCTTTTGGGGCTAATCTTCATTTGTTCATCTTTTAAAGATGAGAAATCCACGAAATCTTTGTCTATGGGTTTTTTCTTCTGACGCTTAGATTCACGTTCTGGTTTTGGAGGCCACAGATGATTGAAGTGGCGTTCAGTGTTTCGAATTTCTTTAGAAAGCTCTTTAAGAAGCTTGTGAGTGTCCACTGTAGCGGGAACTTCTTCAGCAACTCTTCGGATATTCCACAACTTTAAAGCACTCACCAGAGCTTTTGCTCCCGTTAATAAGGTTGTCATATACTTTGAACTGTTACTACTTCGGCAATCCTGAAGTTCCTGCACAAGCCTTTCACCAGCATACCAATGTGTTCTTTCAAATGCTGGAAACCGGAACTTTTGAGGGGTGTTCATCTTCAGTTCTGTTTCATAAACCTGAAACACAACATAATATAATTAACAAAGCCAGTAGTAACATTTCAAGAAGCACTTCTGTCTGTGCTTTATACCTACAAGAGGTTTGTCCGTCAGTGCCATCTTGCGCTGCATCTCGTACATCTGCAACAGCACCGCAAACGGGCCGTTAACAGATTTACTAAAGATTATATTTTAAAGTTACTGATAGATAAAAAACATTTGAAAAAAAAAAGAGACCCTGAACATATGACAGGGTTATGTTAATGAAATAAGACTGACATTGGACATTCCCCTTGTAAAGTTATAAGTAAACTTAAAATTGTTTGGAATCAAGTACACATGCTTCATATGAATTACTTTTTGATATGTGGATCAACCATGGTAAAGGTAACACATAAGTATGCAAATAATTATTTCGAATTTCTGCAAGTGGATATGCTAAGAATGTTACTGAATAGAAGATATCGACTCACCTCAATTTGAAGAGGAATATTGAAACTATGAAGAAAATTGCCTCCAAAAACCAAAGTATCACAGGGTGTGAGAACTGCATGAATCCATCCTGTTGGAATTAGGAGGGTATTGCCCCGTCTAAGAACCAAGCGATAACAGGCATCAACCTGATCACCAAAGAACATGTCGTGTTGAGTTGATGATGTCATCCAACGTTGGTAGAGAGAGAGATTTGCTTGAGTTGGTTTTATTAGATAAAACACCTTCTCTCCCCTCATCACATGATACCAAACAGAGGAGCCCCCAAAGTCAATGTGGAAATCAGTGTAACTATCCTTTGCACCAATTAAACAATACTTTTGAACCTTTGGCCTCTCACAGTCGTTGTCATCATCAGGCCAAACATAGTTGACCCAGTCTATTTGACGAGCAATAAGTGGTGCATCCACTAAATTGTTCATAGCGGTATCTGAGAATTCCAAACTGATCACATTGAGAATTCGCCTTCTCACTGGCTGCCTGTAGTAATGCACAAGGTCCCGCATCTTCATACGAAAGTCAATTTGTCGACTCACATCTATCACATCTAGTTCACGTTCACTGCTTAGAAGTTTCTCAATGTCCCGCAGAGAGAAATCATCAGGTGGAAGCTTCATTTCCAGACCATCTTTGTCTTCAATGAGAATTGGGTAATCAAACCCATTCTGGTATAAGTACTGGGTGGTTATTTGGGGTCCTTGCAGTCGTTGAACTACCTCATCAGCAGGTGGAAAGTGCCGTGTTTTGAGCTCGGTGATGAACACAGGAGTCCCGGTTTGAACGGGTTTCGTTTCGGCATTTGCATCATTGCAATCATGTCTGTGATAGTTGGCTGGAGCATTGTAGGTGGACGGCCCGTACATGGGTTCGCACCGAGGGCAGTGGTATTTTGCGATGTCTGGTGCCTCGTATTCGAAAACCGTGACACAGTCTCCATGGTACCACGTCTTGCAAATGTCACATTCGATCATAAACCGGTCATTTACACTTTCCAGCCCGCAAACACAAACAGGCAGCTCGTCGGACGCCATTTTCTTGTTCTTGACGCTCTCCTTGTCCTCACCAAAGCGAAGGCGTTTGTTTATATTTTCGTAAATGTCAAGCAGAGATTGACTCATCCGCTGAGAAAGGACGTTTTGCCTTGCTTGTTGGCGTTTATGGGTGGGGGCGTTTTGCAAGCTTCCGAAAGCATTAGAAAAGAAAAATTAAGTCAGAAGTAAGTTAGAAAATAGCTTACCATATGATTGTCCATTAATTGTAACTTTCTTCCAGCTGCAAAAGAAATTTTTCATCCTAATACTACCGACCAATCAGTGAACCGCTTCCGGTCACCACTGGCGCCCCCGTCTTCAAATCGCATTTTCGTCCCCCCCCCCTTTCCCTTTCCTATCCCGAAGAAGATTCTGTTGCAGCCGGTGGTATACAATGTCTTTCAGGCCCACTATAATGTGTCGGCCTGTTTCATTTTAAGGCGCCCATTTTCGTTGTCCCCTTGTAATTCCACTAGAATCAGTCATCATGGTGAAGGAGCAATATAGAGAAACCGATGTCGCTCGGAAAATGTAAGTTTTTACTGAGGAGACACGACTCCCTTGTGTTCCGACTAGGTTATGTTGTTCATCTATGATTATGTAGTATAGTGTACGCTCCTGTACTTCTTTCACACAAGTTATCCTCCATGGGTGGACGCTTTTCTTTGTATCGGACTTTCTACGCTTCTCTTTGATTTTCATTGTAACGAATGTTGCCAATGATGACATTATCAGGCTTAATTCGTCAATACTCTTTTGTGCTTACTCTCTTCAGTCTTAATGCACTGACTTTTCTATTTTTCAGATCGCATGTGTCGTTTGGTGTGGACAGTCTGCAGCAAATGCAGCAACAAGCACACTTGCATGTTGTTGTTAAAGACCTGTACGAGGGAGAAGGAGGTCCTGTGCGGAAACCTTTTGCGTATGGTGTCCTTGACCGTCATATGGTATGTATCACCTTTGTCAGTTCCCTCATCGTGCACTGGCCGCCATTTGACGGAAGATTATTTAATTGTATTCCAGGGTACAAATCAAAAAGATGCTACTTGTGCTACTTGTGGCAAAGGCTTGAGTGATTGCATTGGACACTTTGGATACATTGATCTAAAACTACCTGTTTTTCATCTGGGCTATTTTCGGTCTGTTATAACTGTACTCCAATCAATATGCAAGGTAAGTCATTAGAAAGATTTTATTAAATTATATGATGGTAACTGGCTCATTATGCATGGAATTTTCCACAGACCTGCTCAAGAGTTCTGCTTAGCGATAAGGATAGAGTAGCTTTCCGATCTCGCATACTGAATCCCAACTTGCCATATCTATCTAAAAAAGCTCTCCGCAAGCAAATTCTTGACAAAACCAAAAAAATATCAGTATGCCCTCATTGTCGATCACTGAATGGAGTTGTCAAAAAATGTGGTATGTTCAAGATTAGTCATGACAGATATCGCAACAAGAAAAAATCAGATCCTGTGGTCACAGATAAACTTGGTAAGGACAGCAAATGAGAAGAGATTGTCATCTCGTTGTCTTTGTCTTACTCATCATTTTTATAATTTTTCTAGCTGAATATTCTGAAGCTGTTGAAGCCAATAAAGAAATTGAAACGGTCCTCCCTAATGCTCTTATCTACATATTGAATCCATTGGAAGTTCTTCGGCTGCTAGAACAAATTCCAGATGAAGATATTCCATATCTTGTTATGAATCCAAATTGTGGGAGACCTCAAGACTTAATATTGACCCGTATACCTGTGCCTCCTATAAGTATAAGGCCATCAGTAGTGTCTGAATTGAAGTCGGGAACGTATGTAGATCAAACTTTGTCTTTCAATGCTTTATTCTCCTTAGATCGTTACCTAATTAATTTTATCTCCTACCCACTTAACAGAAATGAAGATGAGCTTACTATGAGGTTGTCTGAGATAGTTCTCATGAACAATCTCATAGAGACCAAGGAGAAGAAACAAGGTGCCACTGTCCAGCAAGTGAATGAAGCTTGGGAGTTTCTACAACTCTTGTGTGCATTGTATATTAACAGTGAATTAAGCATTCCCTTCAATATGCAGGTGATTGTTTTATCATTTCTTTATGTCAGCATTCTAAAGAAGCAAATATTGTGAGAAGGTTTTTTATTAATGAAAATGCAATCTGCTTTTCTCTAGGGTGTCAAATCTGGCAGGGGTTTGGTGCAACGGTTGAAAGGAAAACAAGGCCGTTTCAGAGGAAATTTGTCTGGAAAACGAGTTGATTTCTCCAGCAGAACTGTGATATCTCCAGATCCCAATTTAAAAATTGAGCAAGTGGGAGTTCCTGTTCTTGTAGCTAAAACTTTGACCTTCCCAGAAAGAGTGAATTCCACTAACCTGGAACTTATGCGAAAACTAGTGACAAATGGTCCTAATGTGCATCCTGGTGCAAATTTCATAGAGCAAAGTGGCACTACATTCAAGAAATTTTTACGCTATGGCAACAGAGCAAAGATGGCACAAGAATTGAAGCTAGGGGATATAGTTGAACGACATCTTATGGATGGAGATGTTGTCTTATTTAATAGGCAGCCAAGTTTGCACAAATTGAGTATTATGGCTCACAGAGCCAAGGTTCTAGAACATCGCACTTTCAGGTAAATTTACTTCACTTGCCATTCAGAATGAAAATGAATTTTACGATCAAGTCTACAAATGAATGTCTCAATGGTTCCAGATTCAATGAATGTGTGTGCACTCCTTACAATGCTGATTTTGATGGAGATGAAATGAATCTCCATTTGCCTCAAACTGAGGAAGCAAAAGCTGAGGCTCTAATTTTGATGGGCAACAAATCTAATTTGGTCACTCCTAGGAATGGGGAGTTACTAATTGCTGCCACTCAAGATTTTATCACTGGAGGATACCTTCTGACTCAAAAAGATGAGTTTCTGGACCGTGGTCAAGCTTGCCAATTGGCTTCATGTCTCCTTGCAGGGGATGACTCAAATATGAATATTGAATTACCCAAGCCTGCAATTTGCAAACCTGCGATGTTGTGGACAGGGAAACAAATATTCAGCCTTCTGCTCAGACCCAACAAGACATGTCCGGTCAAAGCAAACCTTCGGACCAAAGGACGAGCATACACAAGCAACGAGGAGATGTGCATCAATGATTCTTGTCAGTATCCTGTTTGTCTCTTACTTTGGTTTTGTCAGTCTTTTAATTAATGTGTTTAAATTTTATTGCCCTGCTTACATGTTTAGATGTAAATATTCGTAACTCTGAGCTACTATCTGGATCCATGGACAAATCAACTTTAGGATCAGGCGCTAAAAATAACATCTTTTATGTACTTCTTCGTGACTTTGGAGAAGATATTGCTGCTCTGGCTATGTGGCGGTTATCTCGTATGGCTAGTGCCTACCTCATGAATCGGGGGTTTTCAATAGGTATTGGTGATGTAACTCCAGGGCAAGGATTGCTGAGAGCTAAGATGCAACTTCTCAATGCAGGGTTTGTATTTTACATCCGCCACACCTGACGCACATAAAAAAAAAAAAAAAAAAATTATTGTGCTCTTGTTTTATAGGTACACAAAGTGCCAACAATTTATCACTGCAATGTCGGAGGGACGTTTACAGTGCCAGCCAGGTTGCTCTGAAGAAGAAACTCTGGAAGCTGTTATCCTGAAAGAATTGTCTGTCATTCGTGATCATGCTGGAAAAGCTTGCCTGAAGGAGTTACCTCGGAGTAATAGCCCTCTTGTTATGGCTCTCAGTGGTTCTAAAGGTATTGTCTCAAAGTGTAACTTGGCAAAACACTTACAATAATAACCAATTAAACAATTGTTTTTAATTCATTATCTTTGACCTTTTATTTTCCTTTGTTGTAGGATCTTTTATTAACATTTCTCAAATGATAGCTTGTGTCGGACAGCAAGCTATTAGTGGGCACAGAGTACCCAACGGGTTTGAAGATCGAGCCCTTCCTCATTTCCATAGACACTGTAAGCAAAAGCTGATCTATATTTTTTTAAAATTTTAGTTTTATTGAGTTCAGCTATGTAAATATCCATGTTATCTTTTCAGCTAAAACACCTGCTGCCAAAGGATTTGTTGAAAATAGCTTCTACTCTGGTCTGACTCCCACAGAATTTTTCTTCCACACAATGGGTGGCCGTGAGGGTCTTGTAGACACAGCTGTGAAAACAGCAGAAACTGGTTATATGCAGCGCCGACTAGTTAAAGTAATTCTCTTTACTTAAATTCCAATATTTTGTTTGGAGCTTCCTCATTTTTCAATTTAATTTTTCTCCTCTTCTCTAGTCTTTGGAAGATTTGTGTCTTCAATATGACATGACAGTGCGGAATTCCACAGGTGATATTGTTCAATTTTGTTTTGGAGGTGATGGATTAGATCCAACTTACATGGAAGGCAAGTTATAAGAACCTTATTTCCTTGTTGATTTGTATTTGTGACTTTCCACAATTGTTGACAATAACATAACTCATTTCAGGCAAGGATTGCCCGGTGGATTTTGCTCGAGTTCTGGATCATGTATGCATAAAATGCCCCCAGAGGGATGAGGAGGCTCTGGATGCACCTTGTGTGTTGCAAGCAAGCCAGGAAATTCTCAAGTCTGAAGACTTTGATTCATGTAGCAAGGAGTTCAAGGAACAGCTCATGTATATTATACTTTACATTTCCTTAAATGCCTACTTGCTTTAAATGTTTCTTTTTTATTCCATTGTTTGTCTTTTTTGTAAAATTTGCAGGGAATTTTCTGAGAGCGTTGCAAGGAAGATTGCTAGGTTCAGGCACAAGTATGGGATTTCAGAAGATGGTGGAACCTACCCTGCTGTCTTGCTGGAACCCGAACGTATAACCATTAGCCAGCTTGTGGAGTTTTTCCATACATGTCGAGAAAAGTACATGAGGGCTAAAATTGAACCAGGTACGTATCCTGATTTTGTTTTGAAGTCCTCAAAACAGATGTCATTTGGTCATTTCAGGTCTTATAATGCCTGTCATTTGTGTTGTTTTTATTTTTCATTACCAGGTACTGCAGTAGGAGCATTGGCTGCTCAAAGTATAGGTGAACCAGGCACACAAATGACATTGAAAACTTTCCACTTTGCTGGTGTTGCTTCCATGAATATTACTCAAGGTGTTCCTAGGTAAGGAACACGACTATTCCACATCAAAATGATTCTTTTTTTAAAAGTTGCTCTTTGGTTTATAGTTAACACTGCTTTTTATTCCAGAATAAAGGAAATAATCAATGCAAGTAAAAACATTAGCACACCTATAATAACTGCTCATCTTGAAAATGATACTGACCCTGAATTCGCTCGCAGAGTGAAAGGACGCATAGAAAAGACAACACTGGGAGAAGTAAGTTTTATCACATTCAAATCAAACCCATGCACTGTATTGTTGAATTTTATGTAACGTTTTGACTTGATATTTGTTTTAGGTGTCTGCTTTCATTGAAGAATGTTATTTACCTGATGAATGTTTTATTCTCATAAAACTAGATATTGAGCGGATTAGGCTTTTAAAATTAGAAGTGAACGTTGATTCAATTTGCTACAGGTTTGTTTTACTTTCTGTGTTAGTTTGAGTAGTTTTAACACCCTTTTCAACTGTGGCATCATTTACAGCATTATGACAACACGCTTCAAAGCCAAACCCAAGAAAGTTTCTGCCCAGTCTTCCACATTAATCACAGTACATCCAAATGCAGCCAAAACAACTTTAAATGGAGCTATGCAAGCATTACATGAAGCTTTACCAAAAGTTGTCATCATGGTATGTTGGGTTATACGGTGTGCTCTTATTTGGTTGATGATTAACTTAACAGTCTTCTGTTCTATTGAAAGGGATTACCAACAGTCGCTCGGGCTGTCATCCACAATGATGATTCTGCTGGTAAAACAGTTTACAAACTCTTTGTGGAAGGCGACAATTTGCGGGAGGTGATGGCTACACCGGGAGTGAAAGGAGCTCAAACAACGTCCAACAATACTTATGAAGTGTTTGCAACACTTGGTATTGAAGCGGCAAGGTAAGTACTGGAAAACTTTTCAACTATGCGTGCTTCTCATATTGACCTTCAATGTTTGTTTCTCTTATTCCTTCAGGTCAACCATCATGTCTGAAATCAAACTGGTCATGGAAAACCATGGAATGAGCATTGATCATCGTCATGCTATGCTGGTTGCTGATCTCATGACTAGCAGAGGAGAAGTTCTTGGAATTACCCGACATGGATTGGCAAAAATGAAAGAATCTGTTCTAAATTTGGCCTCTGTATGTCTCAGTCTCCTGGGTACTTTGTTAATGAACACTTGGTGTAAATGCTGATAATATTCCTGCCTTTTTTTTCAGTTTGAAAAAACAGCTGACCATTTGTTTGATGCCGCTTATTATGGACAAAAAGATGCTATCACAGGAGTGAGTGAAGCAATCATCATGGGGATCCCAATGTCCATTGGAACAGGTCTATTCAAGATGCTTCACAAATATCCTTTTCTGCTCTTTTCAGTTTTACTCACTTTTTACTTTTTCATATTGTCTTGTTTGTGGTCTTTCCTTAACTGTAATGTGTACAGCTCAGGAATCTAGTCCTGTACAGCAGAGAACGCTTGTGTTTGATGATCCAACTTTACATCCCAAAATCAACACATCTTCTGGAGATTGGTTTCAAAGTAAAGTTACATGAAATTTAACTTAATACTTAAAGATAATATTTATTGATCTATAGAACATCTGGAAGTTACTTTATTATTGTGCAAAAGTAGGGAGAGAAATGACTTACAAATTAAAGTATGATTTACCTTTGATTTATTTCTCTTATAATTAACAATTTGCACTTTGACCACTCATGGATGCAGCTGGCCACTTGTGTCCCTTTTGACAAAACTATCAAATGTTATACATTCTTCAATGTACTCTTAATTAATAATTGACAGATAACATTCAATGAACCTGAGGAAATATCACTGTCACTTAAGGTGAATCCCATTAATAGCCTATCCTCGCTTACCCCCATGCAAGAATATTGTTGGTCTGTCCCACAAACTGGACAGTAGTGAGCTAAAATAGACTCTCTAACTTTATTTTGACCCCTTCCCCCCGTCCCCCTAAAGTTAGTGATAGCAACTTAGTGATAGCAGTTTCACTGCACAGCTTTCATTTCAAACCACTTTAAGTATTAAAAATAGATAAATAATTGATTTTAAGTGCTGCAGACTGGTACTCTTATGAAAATAAATATCAGGGTACTCCTTCAGAGGCAAAAGGTCAAGAACAGTATTTACTTAAACAGCTAAGTATCACAGAGAAAAGTACCATTTTGGTTACCAGATCGAGGCCCATCATTTAAGTTGTCTCATTATGTTCTTCCTCTCCAGACTCTGATTCATTGTCATGCTTTACATAAGAGGTATATACATCATAGCCAAGCGATATGGTATTGTCATACAAAACCCTGAATCTTAGAGGTAGAATGTAGAAATTTATGACCTGGGCTGGTGGCCATACAACCCATTCGGCGGCATACAGTCTTCCGGCTTTGTCTTTTATTTCCTTTTTTGTCTCTGCCCATGTTGCTCTCTCCAATATACCAAGAGTAATGAAAAATGTTGCAATGCAGATGGGCGAGCACACTACCTGATCAATTAGAACTTTTTTTGCAACTATACTGAGGGTTCTTCCTGGCAACCTAGAATCTAAATATCTATACCAATTGTGACAAATTACTCCTACTGTCATTCCTGATATGGACATTCTTGTAGTTCTTGTAGTGTCCCATTTGTCTTTTTGACCTTGAAGAATTTCGTAATGCTGCTCTAATGTGTCACCAACGCCAGAGAGCGAGATTGATATTCCAACATTGGTGTACAAGAGATATCTGAAAAGAAATAGGACTCAAATGTTAAAAGAGGTGTTCACATATAAAGCTAAAAAATTGAGCCTCTTAAAAACAATGTCTGTCAATTTAAGCCTAGCACAGACAACTAGTGAAACGTCAGCCACATGCTTCTAGCACACCTACACATTTGCTTGCTTAATGTACGACTAGCCCAAAGGTGACAAGTAATATTTTCAGAGTAATATCCAAGCTAAGGCAAAATAGAGAGAACTTTCATTCAAAAGGAAGTGAAATATGAGAAAATACCTGTGAAACATTTGGTTGACAACATATCGGCACTGCTTTTGAAAACTGTTTCTTATGACGAAGAGACGTGACAGAGCAATCGAAGACGTCATGCTGAAATGAAAAAAAAAACAGTAAAACAAAGCAATAAGGACCAGAATTAAGGCTACAGTAGAAACAATTAAATTGAGTATGCACCTCAACTGATAATTTATTTTAACATAAATCTATGGACTTAAATTGACTTGTTTATATCAGCTAAAATGAAACATCACAACAAATGCCACTGATTCATCGCCACAAATGTCTTCTCCGGTTTCTTTTAATGTAACCATAAGTTTGTTTCTACATCTTAACCTACTCTGTATTAAGGGTCAAGATTCACTTACTTAAGGTGATGCAGGGACAAGGTATGCTCCAAAAATACACTAAATTATGTTAAAAAATGTTAATTTCGGCGTCAAAGTTTGATGACATTGTTAAATTGCCCTGATTGGTTGATTCGAACAAATTTGGAGCATGACGCCCCACGCCTGGTCTCGCTCTTCGTTGCCTTGCCAGCGCCAGCAGCCGACTCGACAGTTGAATGTTGCATGCGGTCTGCTTTCAAAATCAGTCGCTAGATGGCGCATGAAGCCTAACGCGCGGGTCGTTGAAGAAGCCGCGGCAGGACTAGAGAACTGCTATGCCACGAGGCGTTCGGGAGTCATCTAAGCACGATGGACTATCACAGCAATCATTTCTCCTTTCTCACGCCCCTGGTTCGTGACTCGGCTCCACGTTCGAAGCGCTGCCGCCGATGTCGACGTTCAGGACTGAGCTGCAGGGGCAAGGTAGGCCACCGTCTCCACCTAAGTGTCACAGAGCGGGGTGGTGGCCTACTTGACGGGCGCTCAGCTCCACTAGAGCCCTAAAAGCAAGCTCAACCCGAGCGAGCCGCGAGAGGCAAGGCCACCGTCTTCACTTGTGTGTCGCAGGGCGAGTTGTGGTGACCTGAGAGGCGCTTGGCTCAACTTGGACGAGGGGGTTGGTTGGGAGTTGTTCGTGTTCTAACCCAGAAGGCTACTCCTTTTTGCAGTGAGTCTCCAGACAAAAGGTTAAATTACTTTGGGGTAAAAGTGTAGTGAAAGGAAAAGTCAACAATATTCGGGGAAAAAAATTAATTTAATCTATCTTAGATGACACATAATCATAGTCACTTTTCACATGGCACATCTTACTTGTTATCATAGAATGTAATTACAACATGGGCACGCAGTAATGAATAAATTATTTCTATAATTTTCAGACGCCGTACCTATAGTTGCGGAAGGTTTACAGTAATAATGATCACCGAGATACATCTTCTGTTCTTCCATCAAAAGTATTTAGTCATATGATACAGCAGTAGTTGTCTCAATGACGGAATCCCGAAACTGATAGGTACCTGCAGTTCCACTAGATGTTCACAACAACAACAAAACCCACAGGAGAAAAAAAAGCCATAATTCACTCTCCTATATCAATAAAAAAAGCTATGCAGCTAAAATCACTACATTTCTTTTCGTCATGAATAATTACTCTAAATCTAATGTTGTATTATATCAGTCGAGGAACACGCAAGTAATGGCGAACTGATGAGGGACATTCTGGCCAGGCCCCTTCACTGGTAAAACCAAGGCGTAACATTGGGTCTTTTGTGCAGCGTTCACAGTCCCTACGCCCTTCTTGACGCGTACAAGCGCCTTGAAGCGTAGACAGGCGCGGCTCCAGAAGTTTACAAAGGGAGGGTAAGGTAGTGCTTTTGGCCTATTTACAGGGGCAAAGGAGTGCATTGGCTTCCAGGCGACCTATCTGGCACCCAGGGGAGGGGAAATCACCTCACCACCCTCCCCGACCCTGCCCCTGGAGCCGCGCCTGAGCGTGGATGCAGAGTACGCTTCAAGAAGGGCGTCAGGCCTCCGAGCGTAGTTCTATGCTTGAATGAAGCGTGGGACTTCGCTTCAGTTTCACCAGTGTCTTGGCAACCTTGGCCGCACGCCGCGGCGCGCCGGTCCGAGGGTGTATCACAGATGAGGCGGTCGCGAGGGCCGCGGGGAGGGGAGGGGCGTTAAGTAGTTTTTCGCTTTGCACTGGGCGTTCGGCGCACACACACGCACACGTCGACCTCTACTCGTCCCGATCGTCCTCGATCTTCTTCACCAGCCTGGTGATGAACTCCTTGAGGACGGGCTCGCGCTGCTTGCCCATGTCGATCACCTCCTCGTGGTTGGGCTCCTCGTAGCTCTCGTAGTCCGTGACGCTCTTGTTGGTGATGAGCGAGAAGGCGAATGACGTCATGCCGCAGTGGCGCGCCGTGATGACCTCGTGGACCGTGCTCATGCCTGCGGGGAGGGAGGAACGTCAGCGGGCTGCACGACAAGGCCCTCACAGCCACAGTGGATTTGCCAGAAGACCGGTGGAGGCGGTCCAAATCCCGGACGCGATTTGAGCTCCAGAGTCACTAAATGGGACTCGAGCCAAACGTGAGACCCTACCAATGGATTGCTCTCCGCACGAGCAATCCATCGGTGGGGTGACATGCTCGGTTCGAGTCCTGTTTAGCGACTCTGGAGCTCGAAACGTGTCTAGAGTTGGCCGCTGGCACCGGCCCTCTGGCCCACTGTGTAGGAGAACTCTACGCTTCCTGTTACGGAGTACGGGGCCCCTATCTCTCAGCATGATGCAAACGTGCAGAACTTCTACACTCGAAATGTGGAGACTGCGAATTCTGCAGGAGACTGAAAATTCCAAGCCTCCGCATTTCAAGTGCCGAGTTCCTCACTCTTGGTTTCGCAGAAAAGCTTCGAATACTAAGACACCAAAGCCCATCCTCACCGACGGCGTCGACGCCCAGGGCTCCCAGCATGCGGATCTCAGCGATGGTCTCGAAGGAGGGCCCTCCCACCACGGAGTACACGCCCTCGTGGGTGATGTTGTTGATGTCCATCTCCGTGGCGACCTGCTTGGCCATCCGCCGCACGTTCACGTCGTACGCCCTGTTGATGGCGGGGAAGCGCGGCCCGAACCTGCAGACAAGGGCGATGTTATTGTCAGTCTCAGGACCAGAACGAACTGTGGATTTGCCAGAAGACCGGTGGAGGCGGCCAAAACTCTAGACGCGTTTTGACCTCCAGAGTGGCTTAACAGGACTCGAACCGAACGTGCGACCCCACCAATGGATTGGTCTCCAAACGAGGAATCCATTGGTGGGGTCACACGTTCAATTCGAGTTCCAGTTAGCGACTCTGGAGCTCAAAACGCGACCGAGAATTTGACCACCTCCAACGGTCCTCTGGCCCTCTGTGCGACACCGCGCGAGTCTCCACTGTGAAACCGAGTCCTTGTGCGGAGAAACTCTCCACACTTGGACGTAAGGAGTTGGCCATGCTTCAAGTGTGGAGAAGTACCTGTCTCTTGGCTTGATGCGAACGTGGAGAACCTCACTCGTGAAGTGTGGAGACTGTGGAGACTCCGCGCTTCCAAGTGCGGAGACTGCAAGTTCTACACCTCCGCATTTCAAGTGTGGAGTTCTCCGCGCTCAGTTTCACGAGGTAGCCCCCTTCCCTCCGCCTCACCTCTCATCGTTGGGCCCCATCAGGGGGTTGTTGCCGGCGAAGCCCAGCAGGTTGATGTGGTCCTTGATGATCATGATGTCTCCCACGCGGTACTTGTCGTTGAGGCCGCCTGCCGCGTTGGACGCCAGCAGGTGGGTCACGCCCACCAGCTTCATGACGCGCACGGGCATGGCGCACTGCAAGCAGCACTCGGTTAGTCTTTGTCTCTCTCTCTGTCACTCTCACTTTGCCACTTTTTCACTTTGTCACTTTGTCACGCTTTCAATCTCTGTCACCCTGGCACTCTGTCACTTTGTAACTTTGCCACTCTGTCACCCTGTCATTCTGTCACTCTGTCACTTTGTCACTCTTTCGCTCTCTGTCGCCGTGGCACTCTGTCACTCTGTAACTTTGTCACTCTGTCACTCTGTAACTTTGTCACTCTGTCACTCTGTCACCCTGTCATTCTGTCTCTTCGTCACTCTTTCACTCTGCCACCCTGGCACTCTGTTACTCTGTCAGTCTGTCAGTCTGTCACTTTGTCTCTCTTTCACTCTCTGTCACCCTGGCACTCTATCACTTTGTCACTCTGTCACCTTTTGCCTCTCTCTCCCTCCCTCCCCATCCCCCCCCCTCTCTCTCTCTCTCTCTCTCTCTCTCTCTCTCTCCCCTCCCACTCACCTTCCAGAGCGGGTAGCCCTCGTAGTAGTGGAAGCGGCCCTGCATGCACATGACGGGGACGTCGCCGAGGTAGCCGAAGACGAGCCTGCCCATGTGGCCGGGCACGGTGGGCGTGGGGAAGTAGGGGATGGTCTCGTAGGGGAAGGAGGTGGAGTCGGTGAGGGCGTCGGCCAGGCAACCTGTGGTTCCGTCTTGAGGTTTACACACAACAGTCAGTAGGCCTGCACCTTAAGCACCCTCTGCTCCTCCCGCAGGTGCGGATCCAGAAAAGCCCTTCACTAGGGGGCAGGGGGTGGGCGGAAGAAGTGTTTATTAGCGAGGAAATTGGGTGGTGAAATTCAGACTGGGTAAACAGGAAACGTACCGTCAACGCGGGGGTACTTTGGGCCCCGGAGGGTGGTTTGAGACAGGCTGGCCTATCGACCTGCGTGGGGATCTAAGTACGCCGCATCTGTTCGAAGCCACCTCCGACCATGGGGAAAACTTCGGACAGGTGTGGTGTACTTGGATGATTTTCATGCAGGCCGATGGAGAAGCCCGATTCAAATTACCCCAGGTGTCTAAAGTTACCCTTGTTGGCTGTAGGAACTCTCTTCCCAGGACGGCCACGTAACTTCCCAGCCCGATTCAAATTACCCCAGGTGTCCAAAGTTACCCTTGTTGGCTGTAGGAACTCCCTTCCCAGGACGGCCACGTAACTTCCCAGACCGAGTTTTACCGTGGCAATGTTCAGCCTCCAATTCACACCCTAAAAGGCCGTTTCCTGAACCGAGAAATTTGACTCGAAATAAGAGAATTTAACTTGAAACATTCAAGTAAATTCGCTTCATTGAAGTTATCATCTTGGTTCAAGAAACGGCTATTTTGCGCTATTTTGGGTACGGTTTTCGGCATTAGCTGCTTTCTTCCACCCTTCCACCCCCACCCTCTGGATCCGTGCCTGCGGCGCCGTCGCGCCTGTTCGAGATCTCGATACCGTCGAGGAGGCAGATAAACAACTTGCACCCTGGCGTGCATCCCGCCCCGGGAGTATCTAAAGCAAATCAAGATTGTAGTTTTTGGCTTCAAAATGACGAATAGGGCGTGTTTTAGGACGGGAGCGGTGCGGAATTACCCCGTCGAAAGAGCTATCGCTCGCTATGGGATTTGTTGAATGCACGCGAGCGCACAGCCCGAGCTCCGGCTTATCTCTAGTCAATTCTTTCTCGTTTTTAAACACTGTTAGAAAAAATCTGAAAATTCAGACCACTTTTGTCAGACTTGGTGGTCTGAATTCATTTTTCAGACTTGTTTCAGACTGCTTGTCTGAAAATTTAGCCTTTCGGTATGAAAAATGCAACCTGACCATCTTAAAACTTGAATTCAGATCAGCGCAGTCTGAAAATTTTGACAGTTAAGTCTGAAAATTCAGACCAACCCAAGATTTCGTTTGTCCGCTAGATGGCGCACGTGTTGTGAGACATACCTCCTTCTGTTTAAAAGGCGTCTGATGCGAAAATAGACTAATTAAAAAGTTTAAAATTGACAATACTTAATCGGCCATATGAGAACTATTCTCTGCTGCAAGATTTATCTCCGTACTATGGGTGGGAGTTGAACAATTCACATTTTAATTTACCTCTCGCGGGTGGCTCCGTGTCGCCATTTCCTTGGGTGCCGCAGGCCGGCCCCTCGAAAGTCAGGGAGAAGTCGCAAGGATCTTCTTCCCAAACACAATTTTTAATCGATGACGTCCTCTTTGGAGGACTTCATACGCTTGAGATGGTTCCAATGCTATAATTCACATGGCACGGACCTTAATATTTGCTATCTCCATACAGGTCTGAATGTTCAGACCACCAAGTCTTAAATGTAAGACTCGCCAGTTCTTAACTTTCAGACCATCTAAATGGTCTGAATTTTCAGACCTCAAGTCTGTTAATAACTTCTGACCAATTTTGTCTGAATTTTCAGACTTTTTTTTTAACAGTGAATCGACATGCCCCAACCACGGTATCAGTTCTTCGAACAGCGCGCCCTTGGACGCGCCTCGCCGTGCCATGCTTCGCAATGCTTCGCAATGCTTACCCATGCCCGAGCCGCAGATGATGCCGATCTTGGGCCGGATGGACACCCTATCGAGCAGGAACTGGGCCACGGACTCGATGAGCTCGTAGGTGCAGCTGCAACACGAGAGGAGAGTTAGACACTTGCAGCGGGAGTCGATGGACTCATGCCGGTGCAGTTCCCCTCGGTCACCACTCAGGGTTACACAGGGACCGCCACCTGCCGCCACCACTTTAAAGCTCGCAGACTTGGGCCCTGGCTGGCTGTGAGGAGGTAGCGGGCAGGTAGATACACTGTAGAACCAAGTGTGGAGAACCGTTCCTGGTCTGGAGTAGTTCTCCACACTTCGACTACTCCTATGGCGTGGAGTGATTCCCCACAATTGGACGAGTGGAGTTTGCAGTCTCCGCATTTCGTGTGGTGAAGCTCACCACAGACACTGAGAATCCAAACGCTATGTGTATAGCGTCAATTGGTGCAATGCGAAAGCATTGCACATGAAGTGCAATGCCTTCTAATTCCCATGCATTAGCATAGGGCATTTTTGGGACGTATGCACGTAAGGTGCAATATGGCTGTCATATTGCACGTGTGGTGCGATATCTCAGCTGCATTGCACCATACGTGCTATACTCATAGCGTTTGGAATCTCAGTGGAGCCTCTATCTCTTTGCATGGTGCAAGGTGAAAAGGAAAGGTGCTAGTCTCGAGTGCCCGCCGCCACCATTAACCACCTCTCCACCACCATTGCCACCACCACGAGGGATCCACCACCGACTGAAATGTGTGGACGCAAGGAGGAGACAACCCCACAACCTCGCTACCAGAAACGACTGCAAGTTGGCAAACCTGACAGAATCCATCTTCGACTCATTGAAACAAACTGTGCGCAGCAAAACTCTGAGTGCAACACCACCACACTGCCACCACCAGACTGTCACCACCACACTGTCAACTGTCACCATCACCACCACCGCACTGTGCGACTACCTGTTGTACGGGGAGTACGCCTCGACACAGCAGGGCGGCCCGCTCTCCGTCGGCGACCTGCAGAAGTGAGTCAAGTGCATGGGGTTACACGCCGCACCCATTGTGGATCATCATCATCATCGTCATCATCATCATCATCATTAGTGGCGTGCGCAGAATTTTGGAAAGGGGGGTCAGGCCACGCGTTTTGCCTACTGACAGGGGAAAGTGATGCAATTTGCCTACCTCCCAGGCGGCTGTCTAGTGTGCAAGAAAAAGGGGGGGGGGGGGAATCGAGGGGGTATGCGCTCTCTGAACCTGTGTACCGACTATTACGCTATTACGCTCTATTACGCCACAAATTAATCGGAATTTAGCAAAAAAACGGCCTAAAACACACCAAAATTGATAAACATTTGACAATTTCGGCTATTACGCGACTATTACGCGTATTATTACGCGTGCTATTACAGATAGAGTGAACCGACTATTACGCGAGTGCATACCCCCTCGGGGGGAATCATCATCATCATAACTGCCGCCAAGAAAACTTTGCAAACTTTAACGTCTCGCACAAAATTTGTACAATCACATTCAGTGTTTCTGGCTCGCCGCGCCCTGACCTGGCTGGCACACTACGCCCGCTCCGCCCGCTTCCTGGAACTTTCCGACCAACGGCCAGGATCTGTCAGTGGGACTGACGGGTGGAGTGAGAGAGAGAGAGGGAGAGGGAGTGAGAGAGAGAGAGAGAGAGAGAGAGAGAGAGAGAGAGAGAGAGAGAGAGAGAGAGAGAGAGAGAGAGGGAGAGAGGGAGAGAGAGAGAGGGAGAGAGAGAGAGGGGGGGAGGGAGAGAGAGAAAGAGAGAGAGAGAGAGAGAGAGAGAGGGAGGGAGGGAGAGAGAGAGCTACATGGCCTTGCCCGCCTCACGCCTTTCCCCAAGTTTCCCTGTCCACCTGATGGGATAATCGAGTCATCTCAAAATAGTCCAGGGCCGCGGAGCGCCGCCTGGCCGCCGAGCAGAGCAAGCTCGTAGTTTATTGTATAAGTCGGACGCGTGGCGAAGTGGCGGGGCCCGTCGGTCTTTTCCGTCTTTTCCCTTCCCGGTGCAGAACCCAAGAACCAAGCTCTATGACGAGCGAATCAGCGAATCGCCACAGCCTCTCGACCGTGACGTCATTCCCCCTGGCTGCAGGATAGATTCCGAGAGTCGCTGTTTTCGTCGCTCTGTCTCTCTCGCACACATACGGGACTCCCAATGAGTGCGGGAGAGACAGAGCGAAGAAAAAGACTCTCCAGTGTGTGTGACGTCGACGTCATTCCTCCTGGCTGCAGCGCGGCAGCACGGCAGCAGACTAATTTCGAGAGCCGTGTTCGTCGCTGTGTCTCTCTCGCACTCACGGGGCGTCCCGTGTAGGTGCGGGTGAGGCAGAGAGACGAAAACGCGTCTCGGAATGAGTCTGCGGCACACGACGCGATGCGTTTAGATCCTATAATGCCTCTGCGACATTCCAATCCTCCGGCCTGCTCTCCGGCCGCGTCCATGGCGTCGCTCCGTCTCACTCGCACCCAGACGGGACGCCCCATGAGTGCGAGAGAGACAGAGCGACGAAAACGACGCACACCCATAAATTGTGATTATGGCAGCGCGTCTGGTATGGCTGTACATATTTTTCGCTCCGCTCGTTTTTCCCTTGGCCTCTTTGGCGCTGCGCGTTTACACGGACGACGCGGACAGCACACACGCCGTGGAAAGAGAGATTAAACGCACTCTGGCGGATTTGAGTCGTTGAAATTGGGGACATTTTGGTAAAGAAGGGTGGTTACATGTTCACTTTCTTATCTGTCTTGGTGCACGCGAACCATAGCGCCATAGAGCCAGGAGAAAGAAAATAAAAGAAAAAAATAGAACGCAATATCCGACCAAAGAAAGTGTGGTAATCCTCTGAAGACACGTACCAAATAACAAACGCAATAGACCGCTCGCCAGCCCCCGCGTTACCGCGTTGCCCCACACGTGTTTCGATAACGATATCTTCGACACGTCACTGTCACTGTTGCACATCCTTATCGGACCTCCGAGTACAAATCGGGATGGATCGGGACGGTGAACCCCCTCGCCCTCCCACACACCAAATGTTTTTGTACAAATTTTGTGCGAAGTTACAGATTTTTGACCAGACGAACTTTTCATAAAAATTTGTACGCAATTTTGAACAAAAAATAGAGAAAAATGTGCGGTTTTTCGTACATAAATCGCACAAAACGTTCATCTGCACAGTCTCGTCCAAAACTGTACATAACATTTAGTGTGGATTGGAAAGTTTGGCAAATTTTGAACATCATTAGGAGGGGGAAGGAAATTAAATAGACAGGCAACCACTGACGATTGACAGACCATAAAGTGCCTCTCTGACGAGGACCTGGAAGAGTTTCGCGAGCGCGTGTCTGTCTGTCTGTCTGTCTGTCTGTCTGACTGACTGTCTCTGTTCTGTTTGTCGGCGTGGTCTGTTCGCGCGGATGGCAACGTTTTGCTTCCTTTCGGCCCGTCAAAGCGGTTCGCCCCCCGCAGAGCCCCAGCAGCCCCCCGGGTCGGGTCGGTGTCGACACTGTGATATCGCCGACACTGCCTCGCTGGGGACTGCACTACATGGTATGCCAGAGCGGCTCTCGACCGTATCCGACTCGCGACCCAGAAAAAGCGGCTTTAAATTATCGCGACCCCACAGCCAAAGTTAAGACCCCCTTCCCCCAGAGGGCCGGGTCATGCTCTTATTGCCCACCCTCAGGCGAAAGGTGTCTTACTTAATTTGCCTACCAGGCAGCTGTCCAGTATGTGTGGGGAAAGGGGGGGATATGACCCCTTGGCCTCCCCCCCCCCCCACGGTAAAACAACCTATCCCGATAGTTGACCGATGTTCATATGGGCATTCCAGGTGATGGCTTTATCGTGTTCGCAGGACATGTCTAGGTTTCGAGTTGCATGAAGTTTGCAAACCGACACGGCAACGGCCGTGTAGTGGAAGTGCAGCTCGCGGCGCCCGTGTCGCTCGCTCTAAATCCTGACGCGGATCGAGGGGGAGGGGGGAGGGAGGGTGAGTGCGATGCGGTGGTAGTCATCCCCCTTGGATTGTCCGCTGGAAGGTTGGCACTTTGCACTTCGACAGGCACTACAAAGAGCAGTACTACTTTGACTCTAAGCAGGCAAAAATCACAGCTCTACCCCCTTCGCCCTGGAAAATCCTGGATCTAAGCCCCAGGGGGTGTACTTTTTCCTTGAAATAACGTGAAATAACGGTGAAATAACGTGAAGTAACGGTGAAGTAACGCGAAATAACGCAAAATAACGTGAAATAACGCAAAATAACGTTGAAATACCCTTGAAATAACGTTGAAATAACAATGAAATAGTGAAATAGCGTGAATTTGAAATGACGGTGTACAAATTTAGACGAAGTTGTTTGCTCCTCGTCTAAGTCCAAGTCTAAGTCTCAGTTCAAGTCTAAGTCTCCGCGGATGCGCGGTTCGACCTTGACGCCGGAGCAGCCTGGAGCCGCTTGCCTGGAGCAGCTTGCCCGGAGCCTGGAGACGGAGTGGCCGGACTGGCCGGGGGCGGCCAGGGGGGCGGGGTGCACTGACCACGGCGACGGGGAGGGAAAGGGGGAGAGGGAGGGAGGGGGAGGAGCCGTCGGCGGCGGCCGTGACTTTGAACTTGCCGCCCGGCGGCGCTGGCGGCGCGGCAGGCCGTCTCGGCGCGTCGTCTCGCCGCGGGGCCGGTCGGCCGGTTTGAAGAACGGCGCCGCGAAATGTCGAACGGGAGAAGGCGGAGAAGGTGGAGAAGGTGACAGGCTGGAGCGCGATACTGGCAGCCGGACCTCGCGGACGGATGAACTGGGCTTGACTAGACTCGGCTCGAATCGAACTGATTTGAAGTGAATTGAGTCGTGTTGCAGTGAGTTGAATTGAATTGACCTGTCCTAAGTTGAATTGAATTGAATCTAATCTAATCGAATTGACTTGACTTGACTTGACTTGAATGGAATCGAATTGAATTGGATCGAATCGAATCGAATTGCATTGACTTGAATTGACTTGCCTTGACTTGAATCGAATTGAATTGCATTGCATTGACTTGAATTGAATTGACCTGTCTTGAATAGGCTTGGCGAAATCAAAATGCTGGGAACCAGGGGAAGCCAGGAAGGCAGGGTGCCGACCAAGTGGACGCCGCCGCACCCTGGCGCTGCTTGGCGCTCTGCCTGGCCCTGCTTGATCACCAGGACGAGGAATCCATTGGTGGGGTCACACGTTCGGTTCGAGTCCCATTTAGCGACTCTGGTGCTCAAAACGCGTCTAGAGTTTTGGCCGCCTCCACCGGTCTTCTGGCCCACTGTGCCCAGGTGCCGTGGGAAGGGGGAGGTAGGCAGCAGCAGCAACCCCCTGTGGAACGACGACGCGCCCGCCCACTTGACAGTGCAGTGCGCCGCGCCTCCATTCCTCTCTGTGTTCCGCTCGTTCCGTCCGTTCACTCCGTCCCACACGTTCCACACGTTCCACACGTTCCACACGTTCCACGTGCGGGTCCACGTGCCGGCGCGGCTCGTGTCGGAGGCGGGTCGGTACACTGGTACACTGTACTCACTGGTTGCCGTCCAGGCTGTCGTTGGACGAGGGGTTAAATTCCTTCTGCGGGGAGCCGATGTACACTTTGGGGGGGTTGGCGTTCTTGAGCTTCTTCAAGTCGGCGCCGTTCATCTCCTTGGCCGTGCCGTTGGTGCCGTTGGTGGCGCTGGTGCCGTTGATGGCGATTTTGGCGGAACTCATTTTGGGGACTTTCGATGTTTCGACTTTCGAACGAGGTCGCAACTACGCGGGACTGTTGGCGCTCAAACAGAATCACAGTGTGAAGCGACGCCGAGTGCGCTCCTCAGACTTATAGTCTCCCCCCACCAACGGCCGCCCCACCCAACCCCACCCCGCCCCACCTCGCCCCGCCACGAAGAGGTCCGAGCCGTGGCCACGCCCGGACTGATTGGGGCTCCGGGGCGGGGCGGGGCAGGGCGAACGCGGCGCGGCCCCTCGACGGCAAGGGCCCTTAGCGTTTGGAGCTACCCTTTGCTCCTCCCTTTGACCCCAACATTGTTAAAATTTAATAAGAACCCGCGCCACGCGTCTTGTTAGCGATCGCTTCTTCCAAAACAATCCCACGGGCGCTCCGCAAACAGACGACATCGCCGCGACTCTGCGAACCCGAAAAGCAGAAGTCCGAGATATTTCGAGTTTATCCACGCGAGAGCTGCGCGCGTCGTCCTTTGTGCAGACAACAACGCGCTCGGCTGAATATTGGCTTTTCGCTTGACGATGCATGTGACGTGCAGCAGCATTGAAAGGAACGCCACATTTTGTCTCATTCGTTTCGATGGATTGTTTTGTTTTGATTCCGAGAGCTGTTTTAGGGGTAGTGCGGTGCGCCCCTGCGCAAACCACCCTGCTCCCGGAGCTCACCCATCTACTGCACACTAAATGTACAGTGAAGATTCTCCATATTATGGTAAAAATGTTCCATATTATGGTGGTGCAGCTGACTTCATAACATACCATTGAGAATTCACTGTACCTTATGGACACGGCAAAAACGGTACCTGGTTTTCCCAGGAGCCCTATGGCGATGACATAGGCGATTTCCAGGGGGTTCCTGGGAAAACCAGGAACCGTTTTTACCGTGGATATTTTGGCGAATTCCGTTGGTATTATGGAGAAAATCTCCACCATAGTATGTTGGTGCAGCCTTTCACCGTAAGACAAAGTGTGGGGAGGCAAGAACACCGTGAAACCAAATGCGAAGGACTCCACACTTGAAATGCAGCAAGGGGGTATGCACTCGCGTAATAGTCGGTTCACTCTATCTGTAATAGCACGCGTAATAATACGCGTAATAGTCGCGTAATAGCCGAAAATGTCAAAATTTTATCAATTTTTTTAGGCCGTTTTTAGCTAAATTCCGATTAATTTGTGGCGTAATAGAGCGTAATAGCGTAATAGTCGGTACACAGGTTCAGAGAGCGCATACCCCCTCGAAATGCAGAGATGTGGAATTTGCAGTCCCCGCACTTGCAAAGTGCGGCGAGTTTGCAGTCTCCTCTCTCCCCCCTTCAAGTGTGCAGTTCTTCACGTTTGCACCATGCCAAGAGATAGGGGCTCTGTGAGCTACTCCACACTTGAAGTTTGGAGACTGCAAACTCCACGTGTCCAAGTGTGGGGAATCACTCCGCATGAGGAAGTGTGGAGTTCTCCACACTTGGTTCAACAGTGCATTTACCGGAGCGGCAGAGAAGCTGCGCACCAAGCATCCTCGGGCATATCGTCGCGGGGGGCGTAAGACAGTTTTTAAAAGGCCGAACGGGACGGGGACGGGAAGGAGGGGAATCGGAAGTACGGGAAAAGGGGGCAGGGAAGCGCGAGGGGCTCGGAAGTACGGGGGGAGGGGGAGGGAAGGGGGCTCGGGAAGGGGAGGGGAGGGGGGAGGGGAGGGGGCTCGGAAGGGGAGGGGGTTGATAAGGGCATGACGCAGTGTGTTTTGTTGTTGTGCCGATGGCTCGATGCACTGGACAACGAGGAAGGCATCACTGGCCTACACTGATTGCCGCCAATGGCAGTTTACGCACTCCACATCCCGCTGTTTGTGAAAGGGCGTGCCGTGACGTCATCGTGCGTCGCGAGCGTCGCGTGTGTGGCGCGTGCGTCCTCGGTGTTAATTCATCTGACGTCATATTTTCGAGCTCGCGTGCCTTCCCCCCAGTCTCGATATCTGAAGACGTGTTTGGTTACCGCGCTGTGACTCCTCCCAACACACACGGAAACGCACAATATTGTCATTTTGATATCATCGTGACTATTAAATGCCAAAATTTGGTCAAAAAAAAAAAATTAAACCTAAACCGAGGTGTTTTGACACTGCTATTTTGACGTCATGAACTTCATTCATCTGCGATCTTTTTTCCTCATTTGTTAGTTGCATTTTCAGCACATCCAGAAATACAGAAAATTTGATCACATGCTTTCCCCATACACTGTTAAAAATGTGTGGAATTTTCTGACATTCATAACATTATTTTTTCATAAAATGTCGTGATTGCTAATGGCGCCTTCACTTTCATTACACATTGTAATGAGGATAGATCAATAGATCTTTGACACTTGTTGTTCAGAAGTTTCCTGCGAATTCTGAACAGCGTGCCAACGTGACACATTCGCGTTTCCCTAATCTGTTTGAATGTGGCGCCAATGCCATCGTTTTCAAGTGGGGCAAGGCGAGTCGGCGCGAAACTCGATCAAAACACTTTTCCCGCGTGTTGACGGAAAAGCGGATGAGCGACATAGAGACCGTAGAGACGGCGTTGCCAAAACGGGCGTTTCGCCACGCGGGGCCGCGAGGGAGGCTGTCGACTCGCTCTGTCTCTCTCGCACTCGAGCGGAGGCCTGCATAGGCGCGAGAGAGACAGACTCTCGGAATCAGCCCGCAGAAGCAGGGAATCAACAAGTCGGCCGAGCTTCGCCGGGTGGCGCAAGACCGACCTTGTTTCTATTGTGGCGGTCATCTCGCGGCGTTCCGGCCCAAGTCCCAACCAAGTCCCGGCCGTACGGATGTACACACGTCTCTCAAATGTAGAGCGGCCAGTCAAACCCCGCGGGCGGGCCGGGCCGACCGACGCACTGCGAAGCTGAAGCGTAGTGCCACGCTTCATTCACTGCGAGAAAAAAGTACGGAAAAAGTACGGAACATGTCTGGTCAATAATTTGCCTGGACCGTCCGTGTCCTACTACGGAACTTCTGTACCTTTTTTCCGTACCCGATTACATGAGTTCTTATGGGACGGACGTTCCGTACTTTTTTCCGTACTTCCCTACCATTTTCGTCTGTACATTTTCCGTACAAAACAACGGAATTTTTTACAGTGTTCAAGCGTGCAATTACGCTCAAAGACTGTAAGCCCTTCTTGAAGCGTACGCCTCAAGGCAATTTCCCCCCATGCATTTAGATACACTGCAAGAAATAACCGCACAAATTTCTGGCAAATTTTTTATCAGGAATTTATTGTACTTTTCAAGTACAACTTTGTACAAAGTACAATAGAACCGGCATGACGCGTGCTGTGCAGTCCAGGCCTCGTTGTGGTTTGTAAAATTCTCGCCGTACTTTCTACAATCCCTGTTGTACTTTAATTGTACAGTTTTTGTTGTACTTTTATTGTACTATCCACACTTTTTCTTGCAGTGTAGGAGGACTGGAGCGCATGAGCGATTGTACGCTTCAAGAAGGGCGTAATACTACGCCTTAGTTTTACCAGTGTACAACTATGCGCTTCAAAACTTGACGCCTGAAGTCACAGCCGTACAGAATAAGTTCTCCCATGGAGAGGGGCGGATGAAGTGGCAACCACTTTTGTTGTGGGGACACAAGATTTCGTAAGGCAAGAGATTTCGTCGGTTTTCTCAAAATTTAGACCGATTCGACGCCCAAAATTCGCTTGTGTTTTGTCTTTTTTGGGAAGGGGGGAGATTGCAGATTTGCAGAGATTTCAGGCACTATGAAAGTGGACGCAGGATTTCTTGAGTGCGACACGATTCGCCCGTTATCGGACGTATGACGTCACATTCGCTGAAAAGCACGCCGGCAATCCAAACGCTACGATTAACGCGTCAATTAGTGCAATACGTTTGGACCCGTTTTCATCGCTTCACCGTGTGAATGAAAAAAGGAATGACCCAAAAAAGCAACTACTGTTGATTCCGTCGTCAGCTGCCGGTTCACAAGGTCAGATGCGAGCACACACTGTGGTGAGTTTTGCCTGAGGCGGTATGCACTCTCGAAACCAGTAGGGATCCGACTAGAACGCCTCAAATTAGCTCGAGAATCTGCTCAAAATTGCCCAAATGTAGGTTAAACTCTGAGAGTTTCTGCTATTACGCTTCTTTAGTACTTCGCGTACTACACTGCAAAGCCGGTGGTAAGCTTGCTTCTTGCTTGCCACAAATTTGGCAAGCCGTTTTGAATGTCAAAAATTCGCAAGCTTGGCCCGGAAATACCACCCAGCATGCCAAAATTTGGCAAGCTTATGAAGATTTCCGACCAAAGCTTGCCAAATTTTGGCATTCAATACGGCTTGCCGAATTTGTGGCAAGCAAACTTTCCACTGGCTTTGCAGTGTACGCTTGCTATTACGGATAAAGTGACCCGACTATTATGCGAGTCCACAAACTCGGTTTCGCCTGTCTCTGGGTGGGTTTGGGGGTGGGGTGGGGGTGGGGTGGAAAGCGGGGGTGGGGGGGATTAATGCACTCGGCCCGGCTAAGCCGCAGCTCTGTCCCTGTCCGAAATCCTCGTCCGATGCAACACGCAACCTTTAAACCAGTACACTGCAGTCGAGTCCCGTTCGAGTGATCTGGGCCATTGTCTTCCACCTGCGTAGCCTGTACGACCCTTCTCAACAAACTCGACGGAGATTAAAGCCCTCGAGCGAGGAAACAAAAACAGAGCGTCGCATTCGAGATAATTATGACGCGGGGATTACGAGGGCCTGGCGAGGGCCGCCCTCCCCGGCAACGAAACGACACCGACTCGGACACCGAGCCGCACCGATTGCACCGGCCAATTGCAGCTTAATCCGGGCGGGGCCTTTCCGCGCCCAGCCGGCCAGGCCGCCAGTCAGCCAGCTAGCCAGCCAGGACGCCAGTCAGCCAGCTAGCCAGCCAGACTGCTAGTCAGCCAGCTAGCCAGTCAGCCAGCTAGCCAGTCAGCCAGCTAGCCAGTCAACCAGCTAGCCAGACAACCAGCTAGCCAGCCAGACTGCCAACCAGCCAGCTAGCCAGTCAGCCAGCTAGCCAGCCAGACTGCCAACCAGCCAGCTAGCCAGTCAGCC